TTATAAAAGGTAACCTGGTCCCAATCTACTTAGAAAAACAATACCAATTTTAAAGCCCCCACCCCCACATCCGAATGACATCCAATTCCCATTCTATCTTAATTTTATAGTAATAGCAAGCCCTTATTTTATTGGCATAAATATAGGTTATTCTCCTGGTGCATTACCACTTCCCTTTAGAGAGGTGAAGGACTATAATTCTTGATCACTGTAGCCACAAGTGAGTTATGGAAAGGTCTGTCTCGCAAGAAACATAAACAGTCGCGTCCCATTCTGCTAAATTGATGACCGTCATTTTAGGGTACAATTTAAAATGGGTCTGGTAACGAATTCACACATGAAAAATAGTTTATAACCATCCAAATGTACGTTTCAATTTACAAAGGACAGTAATACTAGAGGACAGGGAAAAAAATGCATCAAAACCCAAACAGGAAAGATTTTGTGATCATACACTATTGTTTAAAGAGAATAAATACTATGGCACAGCAAGCTTCTGCTGTCCCCCCTTCCCTGACCAAACTAAATAGAATTCTTAGCTTTTTGGCATTATTTTTTCGACTATAATTTATATAACAGTTCATTTCATTTTCTGCAAAAGCCTTTCTGCTCTATGTGAATGAACAATTAACCTGAGTGTTTTATCAATGCGTTAATGCATTGTGCATGAACCCATCTGGGAAGTGCATTCATTCATCCCATCACTGGAAATCTCACAGGCAATGTGACTAAGTTTGGTTAGCAGGGTGGAGGGCCGGTGGGGGCGGACGTTGATTAGTACTAGTCACTTTAATGGGTTTATGATATTTAGCACATTGACATCACCTCCCAACATCTTCACCGTTGTCACATCCGAGAAGCTGCCTGCACCACGCGTGGGGACATGCGGATTGCTCCATTGTACCACCAGTGAGCCGGGTATCTGCTTTACTTGTTTAATTGAGCCACTATCCTTCAAACTGGCAACACAATGCTGGGAGCCAGCACCGCACGACTGGCTTCTCTTCTCTGAGGGAGTCTGCCTCCAGCCACCCAGAGACCGGTCAATGTAGTAAATATCATAAGATCATTGAATACATCACAAGTGTTAATTAGCATATAGGTGTTAATCAACACATTACAACCTCACAGAATGGACCCCGAGCTCCATTCAAAGAAGTAACGGTAATATCGTGTTTGCTCTGCTTTGCAGCAGAAAGAATAAATAGTTTACATAATCACAGCAGCCCCCACCCCCGACCCATCAAAACACTGATTTTCAGCTGCAATCCACAGGGTTGTCAAACAGACTTTTTTTTTGCTTCATAGTTTGGGCCAACACTTTGGCAGCAAAAAAAATTGTGGTGTAATTCGCAATATTCGTGATTAGCAGTTACAGATACCGAGTTCCGATGGTACCCAGAATGCAAGACCCACAGACCCACAGGAATTCCGTTCTAACATGAACTACTTCCAGAGCAGAGTTCCACTTGGTTTGACAGACTTCCAATTACTGGGAAGAGTCAACTCCTCTTACGAAAACCATATTTTCAACCCTCCATCGATTCCGATCATAGAATACATCACCACGACGCAGTGTGTCAAACCAGTGGAACCCGACTATTGTACTTGAAGGATTAATATTTATAGAATGGAAAAGCTGAGAAATGTTGCCACTTTATTTTATAAAATACCTTGTTTCTCTTTACTTGAATGTATTTTATTTAAATTTAAACTGGGGGTGGGTGGGGGGGGGGTGTTCTTTGGGAAATGGTGAAGTACCAGAAATAGCCCAGTGATTTAGAATCACATGATGAGTTTGACAAATATTGGTATTACATGATTGTTAAGCGCTTTGGGATGGCCTCCTGACATGAAAGGCACTATATAAATGTAAATTTGTATTGTATTATATTGACATTTCATAGATGTTAAAAAAACAGCCAGGTTTTTTTTCCCCTTCCAAACACACACACACACACACGTTTAAAATATACATTTGAGTGCGGATGCTTATTTCTGTGGATAGTACAGTGATCCCCAATGGGACCCAGCGATGTTCCTCAGTGTGGACCATTCATTACGTAAGAGTCTGTATCCCACAGAGGGATACACAAAATGAAAATATACATCTTCTGTGCTCAAGGGGTTAAACAGAGGCAAGATTGGCCTGAAAGGATTTCTTACTGTTAATGGAAAGATCGAAAGCCCCTATATCACTTAGTACATGTCTACTTCCACTTTATACCTAAGGCATTCATTGTCTCAACTTTGGCGAGGTTCAATCAAACACAAGCCTAACATACAGCATCACTTGTGCATCAGGACATTGAAATATGGCTACAATTAGCTCAGATACAGTTCAATTATGATAAACAGTGCAGCACCCTTTAAGCTATGATTAAAAGGCCTCCCCTTTGATAGAGAGACCTAATTTCACATTATTATTGCCGGGGCTTGATTATAAAATACTCTCTGGATTTACAGTGAAGAGATGGATGTCGGGCCGTCTTTATCATCTTCAGATCAGTGGTGATGCAGAGCTTCTCTCCCGTACCATTCATTTTGATTTTTTTTAGTGTGGCACCGCTATAGTCTGCCACACACAGCTGGGCAAAGTCACCCTTACGGTAACAGCATGATAGATTACTGCACCATAATGAAATGGAGACATCAAGCCTCCACGCAAAAACATAATCCAACAGGATCGTACTGTCCTGAAAGGAGAAGAAGAAGAATCACTTCTCCCTGTGCTTCATCAAGAAAAAAATTACCACATTTGCTGCTGCAGACTCTTAAAGCTACATTGCCCCTTTTTGGATTTTCGCTCGCGCTCCTGATTTTAAAACACACCAGATTTTGACAAAATCTTCTCTCTTTGTTTGTCTTCTGGCAGCTTGGAATTTATTTGAATTGTTTTGGAACAGCGTTTTAAATCTAGAATATAAAATTAATTTCATCAAACCCGCAAATCATTCTTTGCTGCTCATAGTTTATCTGCTAATCTGCATCCGCAGATCCCTGTTTGGCAGTTTTTGGTCAGATTTTAATCTACCCTTCTTTATCGTTTGCTCTCAGTCTTTTTTTTTCTTTCCTCCCTCACACCTATTATTTCCTTTGTGTTTTTTCCCTTTTTCTGAAGCTCTGTATGTCTCTTGTCTTTCAACCCTCCAGCACACTTGCTTTCTCTGTATATTTTTCTTGCAGACAGGAAATGTTTTATTAAAAAAAACACAGAGAATGGATCAAACAATATTGAAGACAAATTTAGTAAATTCACTTGAGGGCCATCCTCACATATGCAAATTGATAATTAAGCCGCAATTGTACAGTAGATAGATTTTTTTATGAAACCTTTTCTTTATCACAATTCCCGATGAATTTTCATGTCTTTTTCATAGCTGCGTCCCATCAATATGTTTTGATTTGGTGAACAGGAAACCATGTCCCATCCCAATTAATAGTGTCTGAAACACAACAAAAAATCACGGATCAATTAGTTTTGCAAAATATCCACCAAAGTGGGACTTACTTCAATGCTGACTGAGTGGTATGTTTCATCAGACTTCACTCTCACATATCTGTTTTTTCTTCAAATTACTGCACCCTTTTGAAATGCTAATTGTGCAGTTTATTATTTTAGCTGAACCAACACTTTGCAAATCTTCTGCATTTGAGACTTTCTCTAACTAAGGTGTTCATTAGGCACATTTTAATTTTTTAGCTAAGAAAAAAATATTTTTTCCGGCTCCTTTCACTTTGCTTGTTTATGTCTGCAGAGAGAGGGGACAAAAACCTTCTCTATAATCACGGTTAACAACATTCCACACTGTGCTGCGGGAGGAGAGGGCAGTTTGGTCTGAGTGGACTGAAGTGTATAATACCATTTATTTTGCTCCTTTATTTAAGTTGGACTCGTCACTTGTATGAGTTGATCCAGCAGAGAGTACTGACGAAACGTAATTAAGATGATCAAGGTTGAGTGATTGGTTTTTCTGAGACTCACCCATTTGATGGTTCCCTTCCCAAAAACAACAACAGCAACAATTTGGATTTATATAGCGCCCTCCACGCCGGACAGCGTCTCAGAGCGCTTCACTCTTAAGAGCTTATGGTACCCAAAATATAAACATGTTAACAAGACATTTTCAAACATTATGTTAATTTTTATCCCTCTCCCAGTTTGTGTCTCTCTCTCCAAAGTCGTTGACTCGTGTTGGGCTACAGTTCCACAGATGCTGTGGACGCTCTGGTCCCTGCCCAAATACCCGCATTTCCCGAGAGCTCAGGCTACATGACTGTGCGGGGCTTCATTGCTGTCCTGCTGTCCTCTATCAACACACACACACACACACGCACTTCCAATAGAGTCATTAGAGAGCAAAATACATTTTCTTGATTGAATGTTTCTTTGATTTATGCCGTAAATCAATCAAGAAACAACTAAAAACACAACTACCGATCAAACATGGACTTACCTAGACTCGTGCTGAGGGACACTTCTCGACCGCCACTCCCGGCCCAATTCAGGGATTGATCCTGAGGAAGTCAAAGTGCACCAGAAAAATTCCGTGAAAAATCATAACAAAGAAAAATACTAATTGAACTTTTCTTAAGCCAAACTTTCTGCACAAATAGCCACTACTACTACTATTCCTTGCATTTGCTATAGCGTCTTATCTCGTCTTCGAGACGTCTCAAAGCACTTCACCAAATAGACTGTAAAGTGAATTGACAGTCATGGATTGAGTAAACAAATTATTATTATTATTTATTTACTTTATTTTTTGAAGGGATTATTACCACTATTACTAGTTGCAGTATAAAAGGTTTAATGAGTATTCTGCGACAAAACACAGATTAAAACTGGAAGTTTTGCACATGTGACTTTTTCTTTGGTGGGAAAACAAACTATTGCAATACTCCGTCTCCTTGTGTCTGTTGCAGTTGGCACTACCTTTAATTTCTGCAAAGGAATAACTACAATTTAATCTTCTCTACAAATGTGCTTTTTCAAACAGATGATTGCAAGAATATCGCCAACATAATGAAGGAATTGGCGCGCAAAGGTTTCATTTTCAAAGAAACTGGATCAAATCTCTGATGTTGAGCAGAACAGAACATGTCTCACCGCTTTGCAATGCTTAAAAAAATATTGACTGAAAATAGTTAAAATTGCTTATAACACATAAATACGTAGTCTTCCTGTTTTTCTCCATTCCAAGTAATCCACCTTAATCTTTACCAGAACTACACTAGAATAATCCATATTTATTTGGCAGTTTTGTCACTCATTGAGCAGTCACTGTAAGAGGTAAATTCTTTCTACCGAAAGCTGAGGTCTATTTCAAACTTGAAGATGAAGAATCAAAAGGAAAATGTCCACATTCTTGCCAGTGTCTGTCAGTTGTCTTTTATCATGTTTCGTCTTTTAAAACTGAGTTATAACTTGCACCCAGCAGACATTTTGTGCATACATATGCTAATATGTTTAGGGATATTTCCATATACATCTTCTAAAGATTGTGAGAATTTAATACATTCCGATTACATTTGAAGCTGTTTTCCTTCCACATTTCCCCTTTTCTAATTAAGCTTTTTAAAAAATATTCTCAAAATGTTTTCTTGTTTTGAAACCTTCGTGAGATGAACGTGCCGGAGGTAAAGCCACAAAATAATTTTGTTTGATGTGGACATTCTAATAGGTGTAATTTAATAAGAAATGCTGGTTTTACGTTTTTTTGTGTGTGTTTGTTTCTTATTCGGAGAGATGAGGTAAGATTCTGATAATGTTTGGTAGAGTTGCAGTAGTTTGGGTGATAGACAACAATGACTAGTAGCTATCTATATAGGGAGAGAAATCTTTAGTTTGTGGCTAACCCCATAATTAAGTTTAATTATGTCTTATTTTGAATCTATATCTATCATGTAATTAAAAAAAATAAAATTACTGAAATGCAGATGTTTGTTTTTATTTCTACGGTGCAGATTTATTAAACAAAACACTAACCTGTGTATTATATTGTTTGCATGATGTAATTTCTTACCTTGACTGTCTTTATTCAAAGCTGCCGACGAGCTGGAATATTTACAGTGCACATTATTATGTTGTCAGGTTCGGGGCAAACATTCACACTGGGGTCTAATAAGCGAGCAGAAGGTAACAGTTAATGTATTGGTGATATTAAAATTGGTGAATTTGTTGATGGTGTTACTTTTAGACCTATGTAACCTGTCTATGTAACCTGTCTGGGAGGGTTGTAGGAAGGGGGAGGAGATTTTTGGGTTTATCTGTCAGTGAAAGAAGTTGTTTTATTGTGGGGAGAGAAGGAACAGGTAGGTACCTCTCACATTCTGTGGCAGCAGATTGGATTATCGGGTACGATATCTCAAACCTCAAGAAAATATAGTATCAGATCAGATGCCTACAGGGAATATACCAGCAACAAAGTGTGACTGCAAGCCCTAAGCATTACAGCTCCTGAACATTTCCCAAGCATTTCAGCTGGTGATGCATGAAGAAACAGTTATGTGATGTTACTTCTTGACAACCTCAGTACAGCTCCTACGGGGTATAACGCTAGCATAAAGCTAGCCATTCAGTTGCTGCTGGGGGACAGTGGAAGGAGAGAGAAGAGAGTGAGAATTGGTCAAAGAAACTCTGTTCTAATACAAGTAAAACATTTTCTCCTGGCATCGAAAATAAGTTTAATTCTAGAGCAGCAAAAGATATCTACAAAATTCCTGCAAGTGAATTCATCTTTTCTTTGGGTCGAGTACAATTTTATACAGAGATAAAATAACCTGGCAAATGACAGGTACAAAAGTCTTTCATATTTCATAATTATTTCATTTTTGCCTTTTAGCCCCATTTTGCACCTTGGAAAAATAATCAATACAGTCATAAATCATCTGGAAAATTCACAAACCATTTAATAATCTCATTGTCAAGTTAAATGTAGTAATCCATTCAATAAAAATTGTGTTTACTTCATCCTTTAATCAACTTATGATAGAACACATGATTTTCTTTTGTCAATACGTTTTACATTATTGATGTTAATGCTTCCACCACTTTTAAAATGACTTCTTCCATTTAAAGCTGAAGGATCACCATCCGTTGATTTCCATTAGGTCCAGCACAAATCTTCAAAGTGCTTGGTAATAGACAGAATACGTGTCCAGATACTAGAATTTTTCAGAAGCAGTTGCCTTAAATTTTGTCATTTTATACTTGCCCTTCAAAAATCACATTAACTTATGAGATATAAATGACGGAGCTCAAGAAGTGAACCAGAAAAAAGTCACACTGAAAATTCCCCAGCATGCGATTGCACTCATTTTTAATTAAAAGTAGAAACATTCATATCATATACTGTTAAAAAACAAAGAAAAAGTGAGAAAATGTGACTTTTGTTCAATGAGACGTTCACCCCAAGCTAGACTTGAGATAACCTTGTGTCAGGAAATAAATTTAACTATTTAACTGTATAAGGAAGATCCACTGTGGAATTAAATCCGACTTCCAAACCAAAGCGGAATTTAGAATAACTTGAGATCTTGCATTGCCAGCTTTATGTGACAGGATTCTCAATTCTATACAGAAATTTAAACCTTAATTTGATCAATCCCAGAATTGTGTAAAGGGACCTTAATAAAACCTCTCAAAACAAAATAGGATTAATATATGAAACAAAGTTTTCATGTAATGGTTTTAGTGAAAACTTNAACATTCTGAAGCATAAAAAAATAAATTGCTAACCACTTGGCTGAATTATTTAACTGCTCATTACAGCAATCCTGTCATACTCATAGCAATGAAAAACATAGATACCTATTAGAGTGAAACGTTTAACTCGAGAAAAGATCAAAGCTTCTTTTCAGAGAGTTACCCAACAGTAAGAGAAAGAATAAACTTCCATTTATATACCACTGATCTCACTGAAATGTCTTAAAAGCACTTCCCAGGTTATTATTATTATTATTATTATGATTGCCAAGTGACTTGAGTGCGAATGTGGCAGCCATTTGCATCAGAAAGGTCGGACAAATAATCTTGAGGAAAATGAACAAGTAATCGACAATATCCTCCCTGCTAATTAAAAGCACGTTTCTGCAATCTGGAATATTGTTGGTCAGGTTTAGGGAATATGATCAAACCAGAATACACTACCAGGAATAAAGACTATCAGCCATATTATTAGACTTTCATTAAACCAATCTTGTTTAAGGATGAAATGGGTGGCCCCAAGAAACTCCGTACAAATAATTTACCAACATTAATGATGCTAATGAGCTTTGTGAATATACTACAAAGTTTACTTAGTATCATTTATTGCACATTGGGGTAAAGTAAAATGACAGGTAGGATTGTAATAAAACCCATAAACATGCTTTCAGTGCAAAAATAGCTCTGTGTCATCTATAATGGTTAATAGGGATACCCATGGGATAAAGCGAACAATATATAGCTTCTCTTATATTCAGCCTCATGAAGTGGTGGTTAATTAGTTAGCCATTTTAGTTAACTCTGTCACTATGGTCTTAATAACGTTATAATCTTGTGCATCCATTATTTCTATTGAAGTTTTAAACTCATCTTCTACATTCCGTACAATTGCAGAGAAGGGCCATATGCCAGAGTTCACCAGTTGCTGACTGATCTCAATTACATTGCTCAGCTGCTGTGTGCTGCACTGTATGGTTTGAGGAGCAAACTGGATGAAAACCAATGCTTGGGTCTCTGCCCTTGTCAATAAGACCTACTGTTCCACAGGAAATATAATCCCCATTTTATACTGTAGAGTTTTCTTTATTTGGAAGAGTAACACCGAAATGTCAAAATACCAACAATAAATATCCCTCAACACTTTCACCGTTAAAATGTGTCCTTTGGCGTACGTGTCATTGTGATAGAGAAGTATTTCTCTGACTTTTCAAATCGTCAAGAAAATTGTACCGAATCATATTCTTGCACGACCCTGGCCAACGTATGGACCTCATATTGATCTACAGACTACAGTGATGGGAGTTTTGTTGCCATAGCAGATGATATTATGCTACATCATCTAGAGTTATGTAATTTTATGAAAGCTTGAGCTTTGGACCTCCTATCACTCTCAACCACATCAAACGAGAATTTGTGTTTGTGCTGTCATTAAAATTCATCCCAAAAAGTAAACCAACGGAAAATTTAGTTTAAGTTTATCACAAATGTAGCTCCTTAAGAGGCAGCAAAGGCTACTCACTCCAAAGCTAAAGTTTTAGGCTATGTTTCATCAGTGGCTAATTTACTTTATCTTAAGTGTGACGGCTACATTCACATAAATCATTGTTTTTACATTCATGTAAAAAGAGCCCTTGTGAATTGTGCGATTTTACAGAAATGTTTTGTAATTAGTTAATTGGGTTGTTTCTACCCAAACAAAGGGATCTGTAAATATTTATAAGGCCTGTGCAGGCCTTTCTTGATGAGATTAGACTGCTGTCTTTCAGATTCAGGCGTGTGAAATAATAGTTTGACGAATGTTACAGCCGTATTCGTAGCAGAACAGTGGCTGCAGTTCTGCCGACAACTCTGCTGGCTTTACAGGGAGGATACTTAAACAGTCTCATAAACAATTAATTTTTACAATCATTGTTTGAAAACCATCATAAATAATGGTTCTCAGAAGCTTATAGGCAACATATTTAAGTTTTAGTTGCTTATCTTCAAACCTCATTGACGTTTAGACTGCTCCATGTCCATTGTCGTCAGCAATGTAATGGGGCTGCACATTACAGTGTAAAAAATATTTAATGCCTCCTGTTATTTACCTCCCTCAGGAGATGAAATAAATATGTAAATGAGTCTTTCGTCGTGCAAATTCTAGATAGTCCTTTGAAAGAAATGCTTTCAATGTGCCAAATGTTTTTTTTTAAACCCCCGTGTGCTTTGTTACAGTGAAAAAGGCAATATAAAAAAACACTAGACAGCAAGGATGTTTACAACTTGCTGTGAAATTCATACATGCCACACCTTCATACAATACAAAATTACATCTGTGTAACGCCTTTCACGTCAGGAGGACGACATGTAGGTTTCTAAAGACCTTTTGGTGCAAGCTAAGCATTTTGCAATTGAAATGTTGCTAAGTAGCTAACATAAAAATAAGTGTAACTTTCATATTAATCTCACGTACAAATTTTTCCATCTAATTTTCACCACTACTCTCCTAAAGGTATCAATTCATGTGTCAGCCAGGCTCAGAAGCACTCCTGCCTTGTAGTCAGAAGGTTGTAGGCTGAAGCCCTACATTGGGACTTGAATCAATCAGTCTAAGTTGACACTTCGATGGAGTGCTGAGGGGGTTTTGCATTGCTGGAGTTGCCGACCTTCAGATGAGATGTTAAACCGAGAACCCGTGTACCTGATCAGGTGGACGTCAAAGATCCCATGGCATTATTCGAAAAGACTGAACTGTTGGAGAATATTCAACAAATCCCTCAAATAAAACTGGTCACTCACTCCATGGCTGTTTGTGGGACATCACTGTGTACCATTGTCTGTTGCATTTCACCCACAAAATACAGTCACATCCACTTTACATGATAGCCTGTGAAGCAGTCTGAGACATCTCAACTACATGACAAAGCAATATATCAAATGTGAGGATTATTATTATAATTCATGCTGGCATTATAGCTCCTTGGGAGTTGGCTTCACTTCCAGTACCTCATCCAGGCAGCCATCCTTCATATGTGACTGCAGGGGTTCAAAGCTAGATCCAACCATTGTACTGACACAGGACTGAGCTTTGTTTAACAGTGGTACTGTATCATGATCAAGACAGTGAACTTTGGTTGATTTCTTATTAATAGTAGTACACTGAATGTTCACGTTTACTGTCATACCATCTGCACAAAGGTATGCAGGGTAAATCTATTTAGATTTTCTCACGTGATCAGAATTCATGCAGCATGAATGGAGAGTGGGAGGGGGTTTGGGACAAAGGTTTTGTACATCTGGAAGATGTCTCCGTGTGAAATTTAAATATCCAGGTGTCCTTTTGTTTCCACCGTAAGCATCTAAATAGATGTTGTGTACTTTATTAAAAGCTGTTTCCTAAACACTGGAAATCCTGAATTAATACTTTGAAAGTCATTGCCAAAATTGCTGCTTTGCTTTTTGTCCGGTCTATTCGAACTGACTCACATTACAAGTTGAACAGATGTGAGGAACAGGGCAAAGATTCAAACAACAACAACTTGCATTTATATAGCGTCCCTCATACAGGGTAGAATCCCAGAGCGCTTAATGCAAACCAATTGCATCACCAACAGAAATACCAGCTCTTAAAGGACAGTGGGCAAAACATTACATTTGTATAAAAGGAAGATAGAATATGGAACGTTTCCACACAAATGGCTGTTGAAGCCAAGTTATTAACATTATTTAAAAGGGAGTTAAGACAAATAATTGAGGACAATAATAAAGGTTATGGGAAAAGAGTTGAGAATAGGATTCAAGTGGATAACTCCAGTGGGGAGCCAGTACTGTTACCGCCACAAACATTCTGAGCTGTAGCCCTATAAATTCAATTTTATGTAATCCTATGAATTCAACAGGTGCTCTGAGACGCTATCCTGCGTCGAGGGTGCTAGATAAGTGCAAGTTGTTGTGTAAAGCCAAATCATTTTTAAGACTTTTTTTTAATATAATTATGTTCAAAGTTAGAATATAATGATCAGCCAAATCAGATCACTCTCCCCCTCTCCCCCCAATCACACGGATTGTAATGTGCAAGAGACAATGACTGCTCTCGTGAACAAACTGAAATGCCAATACATTTAATAGAGACCTATTCTAAAACCAGAGTTCTTATGCTGTAGCACCTTCTAGTGGCAGGACTCGTACTTTCCCTCCACCAAGATAGTCAGCCGTTTTCTCACTTTATCCAGTTCTGTGTTGGTTATCGCACGTCCCCATTCCCCTGGCTACATCCTAACCTACGCCACAGGTGCATTTCTTTCTTTGTTAGAATTCTCCCTGCCTAATACTGACGTTACACTTATTAGGAAGCAAAATGTTTATGGGTGAAATCTAATAAAAGTTGCTATGCACAGACTGTAAGAAGCTCAATTCAGACTTCCATGTTTATGCCCCACGTGTCCGCCAGCAACTCCACCTCCGTTCTTGGTGCAAAACCAAAATAAAATCGACCGAGTGATGATATTAAAAGAAATCAATTGCAAAGTTAAGACTGAATTTTCAGCAATTTGCCAAATTATGTATACTAAACAAACACATTTACACTATTTAACCGCCCGAGCCCTTCTGTGCTCTTAGTAACAACTTGGATCAGCTCTTGTGAAATATTTGCCCACGTTTGTAGCTGTCTCCAGGTCCCTATTATCTAAACAAGAAAAGGATCAGCAACTTTTAAAGCATTCCTCACCACCATCTTAAAGCAAAGTGTTGATGTACACACATTGAATTTTAGAACATGAAGTTCTAATGATGTTCAGACATTGCAAAATACACTCTTTTTTACAGAAAAATCTTTTATTCTAGGTCAACATTCTCTGCACTTTTTTTTTGGCAATTTTAACCATTGTTCCTAGTAATAATAGTACTGCATGTTGTGCACATCTGCAGTGTTGCCTCCCTTTCCCCCCACCCACCCCCAAAATCGGGAAACATAATGGTAATAAAAATGGTATAGTCAGTCTAGTGGTCTTAACTGAACAATACAATTCCTCTGCCCTGTACCAAACACAGAACAATACCCCACAAATAAAACAATTATACAAATATACACAGCACTGGGCCCAGTTCCAAAATAAATTATACCTGTTGACATTGATGCCTGGGGAAATTGTGGTAGAGATACAGCTTTTGGAGGAAATGGTTTAGCAGCTTTTTTCCCTCTGAACACAGTACGTTGATAGCGCCTCATTACCGTCAGATAATATACGATCGGACAGTGCTTGCTTTGCCTTACTTCCTGGAGTTTTGGTCAATGAAATGCAGGAAACACAGATACTGTGTGGTAAGGCAAGGTCCATTTAACCACATTTAGTCCATGTCCTAGCCTTTATAACCAGTCAGGGTTTCTTGATCTTTTTCACCGAAGAACAGCTTGATGCAGATTCCCTCCGCTTCCTCTGTGAAAACAAACGTCGGGATGTTAGCTCAAAAATGGATTCTTAAAAATTCTTGGCAATCCAATTTTTGTTGTTGTCAATTCGCTGCCCTTTGTCGCCTCCTTCTGTCCTGAAAGGCACCAAATCATACTGAGCTACGATGCCATGGGTGTCCTCCAGTACTTTACCTAAACAAACTTAAGACTGCAAGTACTTCCAAGCAATTCAACAGTGAGAAGCTTCACAGCTAAGCCCAGTTTATAACTGGAAACTTTTAAGACCGATATATTCAACTACTGTGAGTACAACTTCAAATGGATAACCCCAAAATAATAATGGTAATGTACTGTAGGAAATCATGAAGACATTGGTGTGTAACTATTTCCTTTGATAGTTTGGAGTTCTCTTATAAAAAAATATTGAAAAGTTGAACAGATATGTACACTAATAGAGCTGACTGGTGCTGAATAAAAAGAGAAAGATGAGAAAATTATTGTAGTTTAAATGATAATTAAAGATGATCTCAATTTAAGTGTTGATTCACCTGGGATGCAACATAGTTATTATGAAATTGCTTGATTTCATCTGGTGCGTTATATTTGCTGACAGCTTTTAACAATGAAAAAGAACACTTACTACACTGGTTTAATTAATACTTTTGCTTAAGAAGTTTGTGACATCTTTGGAAATGCAAATGACTAACCTCCAGGACATCAACAATCAAGTTTTTACTATATTACATACATAAATAAATGGTAACAGCAAGTGATTCCGTTTTGTTGCTGAGTTACAGACAATTGGGAATGTCTATAAAGATCTATTCCACATTTTCGTATTTTCACTCACACGCCTTCGATGGGAACTCTCTCTTGCACTATGAACAATTCTATGGATACCATCAATCCTATTCCTTGGGGGACAGCACAGGTCATGTTTCAGTACCGCAGGAATAGATCTCTTTTTGGTCAGTTTTCTAATTTCCCTAGAACGCTCAGTGAATATTTTCCAACAGTTTTCCTTCACATTCTAAAAGGAAGCCTGAATGTGAATAGATACTAACAGATTCAAACCCTTTAACTAAGAGTTTAACACTAGCATTGAAGCAGTTAGACCACCTTGCTCCATTTCAGCATCACAAAAAGCCATTCAGGTTAGTCATTTTAGTAATACAATAAATGAGATTTTAAAAAGGCACATTCTATACTTGGAAAGAGATAGAGAATGCTAACACAAGGCAATTTTTTTTATTTTCATTGCTAGAAAAGAATTACTTTTAGGAAAGGGGGAAAAAGAGAAAAGGTAAGGTTAAAAACAATTTTAGAAGCACTCTAAAATGGTTGTACAGTGAATTGGTCTGACCTTCAGTCTTATTCTAATCTAATGCTATCCTCATTGTTTAATCAGCCAGTAAAGGTCACAGCTGTATTTAACATTTTAACTATTCTGTACACCACTGAAAATACCCTCCAGCAAATTTCAACTACAACTTTTCAAAAATGACATTCTGTATGATTTTATGTTGCATGAGATAAAGAACAAAGTATAGAACCAATTAATATTCTCCAAATCGAAAGTCACATAAAGATGCGTCTGATACAAGCATAAAAATTCCCACGTGCAATTCCTATCCCCTCACAATGTACTTATGGGTTCAGGAGGGTGAGGAATTAGTTGGTATGAAATAACCTATCCAAATTGCTTTCAAGTAGTTGAAATCTCATTGGTGAAACTTTCAGCAAATTGAACACATAAAATCCCTGCCACACAATCGGGTCTAAAATGCAATGTTAACAATCCAGATTAATGATTTGGTGAATTGCAATTTCTAGTTTGTGAATATTAGATTTGGAATTTTGGAGCCATATAATGGCCAGTGTTCATTTGTGAGTTTTATTTGGATTTTGCTGGTTTGGGATTCACGATTTGCTGCATTATGTGAAATTTTGCAATCGGATATTCGCAAGCCTCAAGTCACTATTAACACCACAAATCTGGTTTGCAAATGTGGCATTTTAGACTCAATCTGGAAATGCTGATCCATCACTGGTTCCAGGTGTGCCACAGGAGTTGATCAACAGTAAAAAGGTGGTCAGGCTGTTTCCAACCTTTTCGATAATTGCTAAGGAAGAGTTAAACAGGCAGAGAAAAGTTCTCTACGCTCAGGGATAGAATGGTCAACCAGAGTAACAGTAGCTACAGCTGGTAAGTACTTGGCATTAATAACTTATTTTCTATATGCTGTCTCCATTGAAGAGACAGCATATTGAACCACCATCATCGGCGGTCGGGCCTTCAACCTCCCTGGCCCCACCCTTTGGAACTCCACCCCACAGTCGGTTCTTCTGGCTGTCTCCCTTGCCTCCTTCAAGCACGTCTCAAGACTCTTTGACCACCCTCCAACACCTACCGACCCTGAACTCCACCACCGCTGATCCCAAACCCCAGTTTGGGTCCAAATTTCTGACTGTTCAGGGCCTTGGGACGTGAAAGACTCTATTCAAATATAATTTGCTGTTGTTGAAGAATGCTGCACAATTTCCTCCTTCCTGGTCTTTTAAGAAAGCAATTAGCCTTCATCCTCGGTTTTCGTTAAAGATTTTAATTCTTAGCTGTGAGAAAGCTAAATCTGAATGAATCTCCTGACAATCCACTCCCACTAAACATCAGTAAAACAAGCAATCACAGAACTATCAGGGGTCAAAGTCCGAGAACTATCATTCATAAGTGTGCGCAGTACAATAGACGTTCCTCAATCTGGGAGGGAGGGAGGGATAGTGAAGATAAAGTCTCTTTGGTGACTGGTTAGCAATTTGCAATTCATTCTGATCTTCTATTATCTGAACCTCGTTCCCACATTACAATAGTCCTCAGCAATTCAGTTATTCAAACTTCAAGGGTTACCTTTCAAAATCTATTCTTCCTGTTGTACATTTGTCTTTTCACTGTGGGAAACAAATTCAGATCAATACATTATCAAGGTTGCTGTTTGCAGTTATCAGGTCTTCCTATAGCCTGAGTTTGTGCAGAAAGTAGTGATCTCCCAAAGTAGTGATTTCTTTATCGCTTTCTTGAGCAACTCATTTCAATAGTAATAATGTAATCACAGTGCACGTCCCTTCACCAGCTAAAACCCACTTAGTAAATACTTCTGGGATTGAACGAGAGTGCAGTAATTTTACACAGCAAGTGAGGGCTAACAAACTACACTTGGGTGACTGGAAAAACAGGCTCGGGGAGCTACCGATGGATCTTATCTGTTAAAAGTCCTACACAGATATTTGTCACATTAATAATTTTACAAAATTATTAATGGAATTCCAATGGACAAGTTTACAGTATAAAGCTATACTCACAGATGGATCCCAAAATGTCCTTGCAACAGTTTGGAGGTTGGACGTAATAATAAAGTCTCAATTGATAGTTTCTGTAGTAGACCATGAATCACCAGCACAAACTAGACTAGACATTTGCTAGACATTTCCATTTTATCAGCACTTACCGAATTTGGTGTGAGAGGTGCAGCTCCGACAACATCGATGAATTGGTCCTTCCCTTCGCCCTTAATCTCCTCAGAACTTGTGGCCATAGCTCCCAGCTGTCCATCAATGCCAAACCCTTCTCCCGATGTCAAGCTGGGTGTCCCTGCCTTTGCCAGTGCTTCGTAGCGATGTCGTAGCATCTGAAGCTCATATTCACAGTTGGCATAAGCTTGCTTCAGTTCATACAACAGGACCAGGTCACTGCGGAGTTCGTTGAACATGTGCACAATGTCTTCAGTGGGCATTGGGTTCAGATCTGCAAATAATTATCAACCAAAGCATAGAAACATTGGATCTTCAAAAACTTCTAAACCATTCTCTGTCCCATAGACACAGTGACGACACTAGTAAAATAGCTATTGCAAAACAAAGAATAGTCAAGAGTTTAAAGCTCTAAATCAGAGATGCATTGGTCTTATAAGAGACCTGTTTTCTATTAATTTCATTGGTAGTACAGTTGTTCTGAAAGTAGCCATGATATATATCAATGGGGTGTTGAGTTTTAATGGTCATTATCTCCATATCAACACTTGAAGTACTGAAGGCCATTCTTAAAAAGTTTACTAAATTAAATATTTATTCTATCACTTCTGTGCTAGAATGACTTCCCTTCAGCATGAATATTCCTATTCCTGGCTTGAACAATTTCTGAATCTATATTAATTTGTTTCAGACAAACCATTCCTATACACTGACAGTCTCCAACAAACTTTCAATGGCAATTTACTGTCCAAATTCCATTATGTATTGTATGAGCGTGATTAATCTTTTTATGGAAGGAAGAAATCAATAAATAATCAGCATCCCTATTTCTTACTTACCAACTCCCAACTCTGTCAGCATCTGTTCAATGGCTTTGATCTTCTTCTGTCCGACTGAGCTGGGGAGTTTCATCTAAATAAAGAGAAACAAGAACAACAAACAGTCAGGCAGGAACTGTGATGTTGAAATGACGCAATATAAGTACAATGTATTCCATTTGAATGTTTGCATTTGATGTAGCACCTTACCCGGTCAGTGTTGAGATGTCTCAAAGGGCTTAACAAGATTTTCCTGTTAAGTGCAATGACTGTGTATTGGTATGTGAATTGTGGATCCATATCTTTATACTGATTTTTTTTAAAAAACATTTTTTTAAACTGAGACGAAAGCATTTATATCTGCAGTCTTTTTTGGGATAAATATTCAGAAAGAAAAATGCTGATTTGCCATAATTATTCTGTACTCTGGAGCAAAGCCAATTAAAGATGAAACTTCATTCAGTTCATAATTAAGAGCAGATAAACTAAGAGTGAGTTTATTAATAGGTACCAGACTGTGAAAGCATGTGAAAATGTAAATGAATGTGGTGAGGTGAGGCTCACTGATCTTTGACAGTGGAAGGAAGTCCTACTTGGATGTACAGAATTGCACCTTGATACATTAGTCTGGTTGGTATTGCAGCAATCAAAATTATTCACATAATAATTACATAAAATAGGATTACACAACAATACTGAAAATTTTAGTCATAAAATCCACAGATAATCACTTTAGTTTATGCTTTTTAAAAAATAAACCTTGAAGAACAGATCTATTGTTCCAGCAATGTTGCTGCGTTACCAATTAAAATGGGATACATTGCGTTAGCTGATGATTTTTTGGGGGGATCCTAACCCAGATGAAAATTCCATTATATCTGAGGGAAAAAAAAACAGAAGCATGAATACTTTCCTGTGCGGCATAAATGTTTGTTAAAAGTCAAACCTAACTCACCAGTCTCAGTCCTGAAACTGGTATCAGAATAATTGCAAGATCAGCCGACACTGAACAATCCAAGTCAAATAGATTAATTATTCCCTTTTGATTGCCTATGACACTAACCAGACTGCAACTGATCAACATATAGTTCTATACAACCTACGACTAATATGTTAATATGTCATCAGGTAATATTGTACAACAACTGTGAACCTATTTCCTTCCATTGTCAAAGAGAGGCAGGCCTAACATCATCACATTCATTTATATTTTCACATACTCTCACAACTTGGCACCTGATTATTAATAAACTCACTCTTAGTTCATTTCCTCACAATCACAAAACTGGATCAAGCAACATCCTTAATTGGCTTTGTTCCAAAGTGCTGAATGATTGTGATAAATCAACCTTTTCCTTTTTGCTGACAATTTATGTAAGTCACTGCCCCACTGATACCAAACAATCCTAAACCTTATCAGTTTTAAACACTTCCTGTCTCGTCGCTCACTGTTGAGCCAAGTTTGTAATAATTTGTCATTAACTGAAATGTTAATAATAAACACACAATGGGGCTCAGCGTGATGCATGTTGATCTTGATCCACAGACCATCTCTTACAGGTGCTGTGAAGAGTGAAGCTCCATCTTAAACACTTCACTTCAGCTCCCATTTATACTGCAGATTTGTCAACCAATTACCAACAAAATGCAGCAATTATATCCATCAATCTCCAGCATAAATGCAGCATTTTTGTTTGTTTCACTTACTAGAATTGTGCCATATTTTAATTTCTTTGTACACAATGTAATTCATCCAATTTGATCGCGCTGATCAATTTTTTTAATAATTAAGATGGTAACCAACTAATATAAAATAAACTATTTTAGGGACTAAGGAGGTATCCATTTTCTAAGAATCTGTTTTTTCTCATTCTACTCAACAAAAAAAAATGCAAGTGTAGTTTTCTGCCTGAATTTTCCTCGCTCATCAGGGAATGCCAGAATATAGAAATAAAATGATCAATGTGATGTGGCAATAAAAGTTGAATAGTAGAATATTTCAATGCCTGAATAGGATTCTGAAGGTATGCATTTTCAAAATGCATAGCAATATGTGGTGGCAATTATACAATGTGCATGTTTTGAAAATTGCAACAGCTCTACAAACAATATTCCTACGATATGGTTTAGTGACAAGATATATAAAAATATAAACAACCTTCTTCAGGCACATAACTTGAGCTGGATCAATATATTAATATCCTGTACCATTGCATTTATCAGCTGGGTTCAAATCCAATTGAATTCCAAGCACAGTAAAGCCAGGGTAGTTTAAAATAAACTTAATTACGTGACTACGCTTCCTCAATATAATAGCAAAGTTGAAAAAGAGAGGTAGGGAGAAACGTCTGCAAACCACAAGATGAAATAGCAGCAGCAATTGTACTTACCAGTTACGTAGCAATGGCACAAGTATTGCCCTGCGCCGCACAATACAAAATAATTTATTTCTAGCATTATAGACAGGAGCACAGCTCGTGACCAGCATCGCCCACAAAATATACAATCAATTCACTTAACATTATGTTTTGTGAAGCGCTTTGAGTCGTCTCGCAGACGTGATAAGGTACTATATCAAATGCAAGGATTTTTGCTATCTGAGAATGATTTGAAATAAAATGACCACAATTTTTTTTTTAAAAAATCAATTGATTCCCATATCTTTAATGCGTTGCTTTTTTACTAAATATTCATTAGGTGAATGGAAAAGAATTCCCAAATCTTTCCAACGCTTCTGTGTAACGGGGACTGTGGAATCACAAATTGCTGTTTTGAATTTAAAAATGATGGCTTCAAGAAAACATAATATTTAGTGTACATATAGAAAATATATCTCAAATACAACCTGTAAAATGCGTGTGAGCTTTAAAGGACTGACTTTTAACACCGCACTAACCCCCACCCCCCCATGTGCAATAGAGCAGTGATGGCACAGATTACAAATTAATTCCCTTCTTTTTTTGTAAAATAATTATAATTACTCCAGCTACTATTCCTTTACATTCAGAGGATCAACAAAGTCCCAGTAGACACAGACATTCAACCTTAGTTAAATTTTTTTTCAGCAATGTGATTTTTAAAATTCCATCCCTAGCATTATGTCACTCGCAAGTACCAAATACCACCATAACTTATATGAAGTAATACACTTTATTTGAAATATGTGAAAGATTACAAACTTTATGATTGAAGTGGGTTGGAAGGTCCATTCAGTTCACAACCAAAGCTACCCGCTCTGCTCTGACGTATGTATGTCTTGGGGCAGAGAGGGGGAAAGGGGAAAGCTTCTATATTGATGATGAAAATGCTTTTGATATTAACAAAAGGGTCATCCAACCCATCAATAATTCCTGAGCACCTTTGGTTGGAAGCACAGGTTCAAGAATGTACACGCAATGAATGCCACTACCAGAGGCTAGATTATGAAACTCATCTGCAATCATGCTTTCATCATAATTACTCATTCTGGTCATTAACAAAGATCATTTTACTGCAACCTTATCCTGAAAATAGGTCTTTGCCTTCCTAGCATCAGTAGGAGAATGTTCCCACTGTTTATAATTGGGTGCTGTGACCATCGATAATCAAGAAAAATTAGGCTATCAAAAATCCCCTTTACAATCATAAAAATGGGTCATAATTGGGTCATTTAATAAAGGGGAAAAAAGTCAGGTTGCTATTTCAAGAAGGCCTTTTCAGAATACATCTGATATTTGAACTGAGGAATCACGTCTTTAATATTATTCCAAATATATTATTGCAACATTATTAATAATAATCCTTGCATTTGATATAGCGCCTTTTACATTGGGAGGACTTCCCAAAACACTTCACAGGTAATTTGGGGCGAACGCATCAGCCAATTTGCTCACAAAAACCCATGAAAGGTGTTACCAATTTTATTTGAAGGATTCGAATAGTGCCATGGGATCTTTAATGTCCACCTGAACAGGCAACCCGGACCCTTGTTTAATGTCTCATCCAAAAGATGTCACCTGATAATGCAACACACCCCCAGCACTGCATTGGAGGGTCAACTTAAACTATCTGAGTTCAAGTCCCGATGTGGAGCTTGAACACACAACCCTCTGACTCAAGAGGTAAGAGTGCTACCACTGAGCCAGGCTGACACATTAATAATAATTTATCATAATAAAGTTAAGTCTGAATATATTAAGAAGTGTTCAAATACATTTATTTTGATTAAATAAATTTTGCATGTGGATTAGACTGTATTCTACAGTATTATGACAAATACTCTGACGAGGGCGAGTTTTCAAAGATACATTTCATGTCAGTGGTATAATTCATCAATTGCTGGGAATGGCAGTCAATTAAACTACATTTTGACTGTTAAAATATTCTGTAGCCTTTAATAAATGAACATTCTGCATGTCTGAGACTTAGAACAACTTTAAAAATTCAACATCCTTTTGTGGGGAAACCCTCACGCCTGTTTAGCATTATCATTACTTTTTTTTAAAGCAGCATTGCATAATAATATACTTGCATTTGATATAGCGCTTTTCACATCTTCCAGACATCTCAAAGCGCTTCACAGAATATACTGTAAAGTGAACTGAGTGTATATTTGTGGGCAAAATGCAGCAGCCAAATTCACACAGCAGTGTCCCACAAACACTAGATTGAAGTGACCAATTTATTATTGCTTTTTTTTGAGGGATTATTATCAGGCGTGTGGAGTAAGGAAACTTATTGCCAGGAATCGAACCCCGGTCTCTAACCACTGAGCTATAGGACTCCACAATTTCATGTTACTGGACACCAGAATTCTACAACCTCCCATCTGCCCTCCCGCTCCCACACAAACACAAACAGTTCTTCTTTCCTAGTTTCGAATAATGAGGAATATGGAAATTCCAAAAATTAAACATATCTTGATCAAAATCCTATTTATGGTGTCAATAGATTGATCCAGCATGGAATTGGGGGAGTGAAGGGGGATATTCAGACCTACACACTGCTGTATTGTGTATTGATGTAGTGTGCCCTACTATTGTCTAATACCAAATTTATTCCCGGTTTCCCTGTTAGAAATGAAACAAAATAAAAAATGTACCCTTTGGCTTCGCAGTGTGACACCTGCAGATTTGAAGTCTGGAAACTTGATACCGGCCGTCTCTGGTACAGCCTGTAACAGGAACAGGAAGGAAGCATTAATACAGGAACACAACAATCAGCGAAAAACACTTGGAAATACGGAAAAACAAACTGATTCTTGTTCTGATCAAGGCAAGAACATGAAACCACCTGGGTAAGTTGAGACTGCCTTCTACTAAGTAATTAAAAGTAAAAGGTTCTTCCTCTGCGTAACAAAGTGCTTCAGTTCTATTTTTGAAGGTTTATTAAAGGACCAGTTAATTATCTTTTGGTTAGAAAGGCAACAGGCAAAATTACCATACACAAACAAATACACAGTCAACTCAAAGTTGTAGTCAATATGGCAGCCACTAATTAGGATTTGATTAGTTATCCGAAAAAACAAATTTCCAGCAGCAATTCTGCTCAGACCTACAAAATAAAATGCATCAGCGTTTGTTAATTATTTCTCACACAAGTTAAGATGCTTTCTGCTTCAGAGCATGTGCACCTAATACAAATACAGTGGAACCAATTATAGTGCCCTTCAATATGGTGCTGCCTCTCTATAGTGTGGGTTTCCTGTGGACCCGTGCTAACCAGAAGTGGCGTATTCCTAGCTTGACACTGACTACCTGTGGTACAATATCAGTGAAACATGGACATGAAACAAAAGACAATATTGGGTTAAGCAACCAGCTTTATTGCAACACTATTGTTTTTAAAGAAGGGCAACTATAAATGAAGAGAAAGGCAAAATACTGTAGATGCTGGAAATCTGAAATAAAAATAGAAGTCGCTGAGAATGCTCAGCAGGTCAGGCAACATCTAAGGAGAAAGTGATTTAACATAATTGAGTTAGCGTCATCGACCTGAAACGTTAACTCACTTTCTTCTCTCCGTAGATGCTGCCTGACCTGCTAAGCGTTCCCAACAACTCCTGTCTTTATATTATATTAAAAAAAATTACATTGTCTTAATTTCTTCCTTCCATTACGATTTCCGTTTGTTCCTTCCTGCCACATGAAAAACTAAATGCTCAAATATCTACTTTGATAAAAAATAAAAACACTACACAAGACACTTACTGGCTTTTCAGTTTCTTTCTTCTGCGGTAGTTTCTTTTTTGCGGCCTTGCGCTCTGCCCGGCGCATCTCTGTGGTGTTGTCTGCTGCTGTGATCAGCTTCTGAAGATCTTGTGTTTTCTTTTCTCGCTCTTTCTTTCTCATTTCGATTTTCCTCAGCTCCTGTATTAGGTACTCCTCTTCTTCCACCTTTAGACAAGGACAGGTAACTGCATATTAAAGCAGACAATGGCGACATCCAGTGGAGTTGATGTACATTGCGACAATTGCAAAGATCAACTCAGAACTCGTTTTTCTTTTAATAGGTTTGCTTTACTTTTTTTTAAGAGGGCGGTGAGGAAAGAAACAGAGGAGAGGAAGGGTGAGAGATGGTAGTATAAAGTCTTTTTTTTAAAAAAACACATGCTGGAAGCAACATCAGCAGCAACCTGACAACCAAATGGTTGGCCATTTTGCAAGTGCCAGAAGCCAGCTAGTCAGTGCCAGATGTGGGTATACCACATCTTGCGTTAAACTGGATGCAATGGAGTCCAGGGTCATCAGCAAGCGAGCACTATGTTGAAGAACACTACAACAGGGTTCCCCCGTAGTTGGAAAGGAACTTAACTGAAGAAGCAGCTACTGTTCAGGTTTATATAGAAGGCATACAACCAGGAGTTAAAGCGGAAAATATCCAAAATGTTCACTTCACGCAGAGATGAGTTTTACCTGTTCCGGTGTTCTATTGTACAGTCTTTCAAGCTGCTCTTTTCTCCGTCTCTCATGTCCAGCATCAAACACGGAGAGTTTGGGATCAGAACCGGGAGGAGCACGGATTTTTGTCAGTTTGGCACAAATATTATAATATCGTTCTTTTAAATCTTCAACTGAACGTTTCTGAGAAAGACAAGGTTGTCGGTTGAAAAATATTAAGTGCCAGTTATACACATTGAGCTAAGTGTGTTAAGTGTTTGCTATTTAGTTAGTAGGGTAAGATATTCTTTTTTTAAAAAAACACACAATTTATGATTGCCATGTTTAATTTTTTACATTTTAAAAAAGGGTACCACATATTTAAAAAAATGCACAAGTGCTATGTGCCAGAGAAATAAGAGGACTCATATCAAAATCTAAGAATATGAGGAACATAATTATAATAATTCCCCCATCAGGAAGCAGACAATAGTGTATAAATAAATCAAGCAAGTAGAGCCCAAAACTCTTATGTGTCTCCGTGATAGTTAATTCAGAACCAGGAGGTGACCTTCCCCAAGGGCTAAAACATGTTAAGAACATGGTTAAAAAGAACTAAAAATAATTAAGCAATATCTTTTTTCCGCTGATTAAAGATAGATACCTTTACAGCTTTTAGTATAAATGTGCAAAAATGGGTTAGTATTTTACATTGCTTATTTAGGAACAGAGTTATCACCAGACGCAGGATATCTGGGGGCTGGGAGGGTGGGAAAATCACACATACTCCAAATGATAGCACTTTACAGATTTATAGCCTTCACAAGGATTGTATTTATTTATTCATTTTTCTTTTACTCACCCTGAACTGCTGGTGGTCATAGCGGTCATGGATGACAATGAATCGGAGATCAAAGCGTTTGCAGAGGTCAAAGAGATGGTCGGTTTCTGCTTTTGTCCATCCATCATCATGTAGGTACATCTGGTATTCCTGTTCTGAATATACAGGCACCTGAACTGCCTAAAGATTTTTATTCAATACAATTAAAACTAGCATGTTTTAGTCATATAAATTAATATCAAAGTAATAAAGCTACCGATATTAATACAGTATTCTTAGGATTTTCAGCCTCAAACATCTAAAAATATTAACAGAAAATGCTTAACACAAATGTCCCTGGAACTGTCATTATTTTATGGGTTAAAAGCATCAATAAAATGCATATAACTGTTGTATTAAACCACCCAAATATTACCAGGATCAAGTGATTAATCCTAGTAGATATAGTGCTTTTTCATATATTTCAGGATTTACTGTAAAGTGTAGTGACTGTGCATTTTGAGTGCAGAAATTTCCCATGAACAGCCACAAAGTGAATGATGAATTGGGAGAAACTGTCGTCTCTTTTCGAATAGTGTTCCACCAATTGAGACAGGCTGACACCTTATATTACACCATCGAAGTATAACATGAGTGGGTGTGCAAACTCGTGGTCTTTGTGTGCAGTGAAATTTATGTCCAAAAAACATCATAAGAGCCGTGCAATTTTTCTTAAAGCCGCTTCTGTTTGTGATCTGCTTAAAATGTTTACTATTTCTGTCTCAAAAAGAATTTAAGTTACCTTATTAAATCTAGCAAAAGGGTAGTCTTTGCCTTCATCTGCTAGACGTCTCCAATGATAAAATATTGCGCCATCCTTCCTAGCTGGATTAGTGAAAGGCATCCACTTCCATGGACGGACTTTCTTGCAGCCTAACTTGGCTTTTACAGTCCTGTAGCCTTGAGTAGTGTCACTTGGAAGCAGTGGAGGGGCATCCCTTTTCACAACAGAACACAAATTAAGAATTGAAACTGTATTAAGTATTCATTAAACATTTTAATCCATGAAACACATCCTCCATCCCCTTTTGTTTGGTACTAACACTTGGTACACACTTGACTGGTGACTAATGAGACATCAAATGAAGTTCATTGCATAAGTATGTACAAGTTTTCATATGATCGCACACAGATATTCATCAGCATTGTAATCGCAGGTATTCCATTTACATTGATTTCATCAGCATCAAGAATAGCCTGGTCGTGAAGCACAAGGCTGCAGGGAAGCAGTTTTGCCAGTAAATCAATTCATCCAATGGTTTCCCCCAAAACATGAGGGACCATTTTTAAAGAGCGAGTCAGTCACAGGTATTGCCAGCTACCAACTTGTGCACATTCGCTTAGTTGTTCAGACCTTTTATGAAGTCTCAGCCAACGCAATCTCTGAGCAGAAATTATTGTATAGATCAGGCTTCTCATTCCAAATCCATCCCGGGTGTATCAATAGAACAAGACAACAGGCTCTTCAACCTTTTCTAGGATCCCCCAATTCTCAGAGCAATTCTGGGTCTGCTCCCAAAGCTCTGCCAATAACATAGTACATTTCAGTAATTACTAGAAAATCTTATACCGTTGAATTCTCTGGATAGATTTACAAGCAATTTTGGGTTAAGGTTTCTCTGACAAAGGTAGGAGAAAGCAAAAACTGGGGAACATAATTGGTGAATGATATGAAAAAACGTGCATAGTAATTCATGCAACATTACATTGAAACCTTGGGCAAGTTTCCTTACTCCACATGCCTGATAGTAATAATCCCTCAAGAAAATAACATAAATAAATAACAATTTGATCACTCAAACCAAGACTGTTTGTGGGGCATTGCTGTGCGCAATTGGCTGCAGAGTTTCACCCACAAATATATAATCAATTCACTTTACAGTGTATTCTGCGAAGCATTTTGAGACGGTAAAACGCTATATCAAATGCAAGGATTAGTATTAGTTATCATGACTATCAATTTGCCATGACCAAATGTAATTGAGAGTACTAACAATTCCACAACTGATCTCAGAGGTCCTTCTCAATGCAAGGAAAGTTTTGTTAGTAACAGCTAACGCGGTGACTAAAAGTCCAATAGTACACCATAACATCAAAGATTATTGTGCATTGGCTTGCCATCATTTTCTCATACTGGAGGTTAAGAACATGCCTTTGCTTTATATTAATAATTTACCAGTATAATTACTTAAACGCATTTGTTATGCATTACGGTAGCGACTTTTTTTAATGTCATCTAGTGCAAGGTACATAAATGCTTGCTGAAGCCGCTGTACTGGAATACAAATTGCGTTTTGACAGTAACTGTAGTGTGATGTTAATCTGAATTATGTCAAACATAAGTCTTAAAGAACCCATTCTTGGTCTACCTAGGGTGCAATTCAGCAGGATCGATCAATAAATCATTTCAACACACTTCACTGAAGTGCTTGCAGCTTTCTGATAAAAATGTAATGTAGAGTACTTTCGCTGGTCATTCTCCCTTATTTTATTTTTCTTATGTCCAACTCAGCAATTACAAGCCAAAGAACAGGCATGCAACTAACTCTGCGGAACAGGCAGTGCAAGGTTTGAAGCCTCTAAACTCTCCAGCTATTGCACAATCTCGAACCTTCCCTTCCTTTGGAAAAATGCTTTGCCTCCCATCTTCACACCTTCTTCCACCACTCTCTGTATGGGCCCCTCAACTCCCGAGTCCATTTCCCCCACTGTACTGAGACAGCCCCGGTCAAAGTCACTAACAAAATTGTCCAAGTCTCTGACTAGGGCTCGCTGTGCTTCCTTGACAACAACAACAACAAAATTACATTTATAGAGCGCCTTTCACATCGGGAGGACATCCCAAGGCGCTTTTGACAATGCTGTTTTGACAATGTTGAGCACTTCAACTTTCTTTACTATTTTGTCTCCCTCCTATTCCTCTGTGGGTCTGCAGTTTATTGGTTAGAAACTGATTTCACTTCTCTCTGTCCCAACATCTTCATTACTTCTTCTCTTGCACTTGCACAGCTCCCTCCCTATCTCGATGATTTTCTGCAATCCTACCCTCTCAGGTTCTCCCTCTGCTCAGACAACTCTGGCCTCCTATTTTCTCTGCTGAAGACCTTACTTTTCGACCGTGCCTTTGGCCACCTTCCTCCCCCTCCCTCGGCCCCGGGATGCATTACTGTGAAGCTCTCTGAGACGCCGTCCGGCGTGGAGGGTGCTATGTAAATCCAAGTTGTTGTTCTTGCTTCATGCCCAACCTCCCTCCCATCCCACCCCCTCCTGCACCAACATTGTTCTGTGGCGATATCCTATGTCTGCCACAGGAAGCTGCTATTATATTTGCAAAACTCTCTTGCATCTCCCAGCTCGGGTCCAAAACTGACTGTCCAGCTCCTTGGAATGTCCTCTTGACGTGAAACGCGCTATATAAATGTAATTTTGTTGCTGTTGTTGTAGACAAAAGGCTGATACAGTACTGCAGTAACATGTAGACTTAAATCATTGAAAAGTGGCCAGTTACTTACTTTTTGTCGGAATACAAGAGTGCATAAACTTCTCTGTGCATTCCTTCTGGCCTCTTAAATGTGAGTGTTTCTGTTGATTTCTTCGATTTTTTCTAGAAAATGTACAATTTCATTATTCAACATTCGTTCCACAATTAAAATTAAAGAAAGCAGTGAGCAAAAGTTAACATTACCAAAACTACTCATTAAATAACATATTTGACAAGTGCCAGTGTAGAAATGAAACTGCCATTTGAGACGGTTCTATTAGCCGTATATGTACACCCACGATACGGCTCACTCTCCCTCGCAGTGTACTGAGTGGCCCGTGTTCAATCCTCACTAATGAATGCAAGTCCCTATAACTAGGTGTAACTTGACTAATGAGTTCTTCCACGACAACAGGTACTACCAATTGCTATATAAATTAAAGCATATTAGGAAGTTTCAGTCAATCGGAGGTTTATTTTACACTCTGTGACCTAGGCAGAACCCGTTTGTGTATTCCCTCCTTCTTTGATTTATACAGAAAGCTCAAGTTAAGGTTAAGTTAGCTCAACAGAATTTTATTGTAGCTTCAATGAAATCCACAACCCTCGGCATTAAATCTTAGAACGATACAATAAATATCAACAAACACAACTATGAGATAACAAACATTAATCACACTTAAACTAAACACGCTAGCAGCCATTTGTAATGAAGTTAATGTAAAGTACACAAAGAATTAAGCTCTGACTAACTACTCATCAACAGTCAGAGCACATACGTTTGTTGTCATCAGGTAGAATAACGCCCACGACACATGGTGCTCGTTCTTTTATGGGCATTGAGCCCCTCCCTGAATTAGGGTACCCACTAGTAATTGTATAGCACCTTTAAGTGACCCAATAGGGAAACAATACACCTTCCCATCCATTTAGGCAAATTATGTAGATAGTCAGTTACCCCGCCAAATTGTTGCAATCGACGCAAGTCAGGTTTGACGGCACTATAAGTTTTATCAAAAACGTTAAAATACATTTTAAAAAATTCAAAGCACTACTCAATATATTTAAACAGACAGACGTAGAAAACAAAAGGGGTGACCGTTACACATTTCAAAGAAAAGTCTTCTACAACTTCTACGATCTTTCAAGTGTCACAGTCACCCAAGATCTCGTTAGTCAAGTTACATCTAGTTATAGGGACTTACATTCATTAATAAGGATTGAACACACGAGGCCACCCAGTACACTCTGCGAGGGAGAGCGAGCCATATCTTGGGTGTACATGTAAGGGTGATAGAACTGTCTCACAACAAACTATTGCTTTAAATGTCAGTGTAAATTATCTGTTTAAATAATAACCTTTACAAATTACCTAATAAAGTAGATACTTAAATAACACCATCATTGATATCACTTTAGTAAAGTACTTTGGTTTAAATTTATGCACTGCAAACTCCAATGAAATAGTTTTTCTCTATTTTTCTAAAAAACATTGTGTGGAAAGCATGGCTTGATTTTGGCACCAAAGGTCAATTAAATCTTAGATGATCTACCACGCAAGTTTAACTATAGTAAAATAATTACTATAACTTTAATGAGCAACAACCAACAGTTGATTTCAAGAAAATAATTACCTTATTGTCCGAGTTAAGGATATCCTTTTTACTGATCGGTGTGTTTTCAGAGTCCCCGCCCCCCAACTCCAGGATATCACGAACATCTGCTCCGGTAGTCATTTTTTTAAAATAGCTAGAAAGAAAGAGCATTAGAATTACTACAATTTGTACACCCATGTGGGAGATTCAATTTGTTGTGCCTCGGGACGTCCTCCTGACGTGAAGGACGCTACACAAATGTAATTTATTGTTGTATGCAGGATGATTATTAGATTGGATTTTTGACATATTAGATCTCAATTTTTCTTTAAAAAATACATCTGAAAATAATATGGTATATTAGAAAATTGTACTTTATCATGATCGGTTTCAGATAATTTGTTTTTGAGCTTTTGATAGCAAAAGCAGATTATCTTGGGTACAATGCCTTCCCTTTGGAATCTAGATATGAAAGACTGTCGGTAAAGTGAACTTAGAGAACCTTGACCCATTTCTAATCAACACAAATCCTCAGCAAAAATTCACCCTCTTGGTTTGGTAAAAAGTTTATGACAACAATAATAATAATCCCTGCATTTGATAAAACACCTTATCACGATTTCGAAACGTCTCAAAGCACGTCACAGAATACACTGTAAAGTGAATTGACTGTATTTTGTGGGCGAAACAACATCATTCTGAAAGGATGCAAAAGGACATGTCTGGAAAATTGAAAAGGTTGCACTGATACAGTAAGAATGCTTTTTTTAGTTGAATAAAGTTGCCAGTTGAATAAAGTAAGGAAGTCAGAGGTAGAATTATTCTAAGAGTGCTAAGAGTCATTTTGTAATATTGTCATCAAATATTCAGGTACAAGTCACCCAACGTCTTCTTGGCTCAGGAATAGTGTGCAGAACTGTGTACAAAAAGACGCAGAGGTCAGAAATAGACAAAATACTGTAACAAATAAAATACAATGGAAACTAGTTTTCCATAAGGGAGGGCACGCCTGCACACCTTTACACACAAATGTAAGTTAAAAGCTTATGTTAATTTGTCATTATCCACTCTATTTACATTCCAGGAAATGGAAATATAAATGCAATGAATATTTACATTGATGAAATGAATACTTTAAAAAAATATATATTAAAATACAACTGCCTTCAGTGTTTAAGATTGAATACGTTGATTTGTTTGGACATCTGAGCAAATTCTTTCAGAATTGTGTTTCAGCAAGGGAGCCACAAGAGTGTCAAGTATTTTGCTAAGATGAGTACACCGTGATAAATGACCTAGAGGTGTCTGATTTAATAATACATCTGAACCATTGAGCAATGAAACAACCATAGAGATTATGCACCATAGAGACATAAAATAACAGGTTCGGAGACAGAGATGTAGTCTTGGGACAGATGATAACACCCACCCAATATCTCCCTGGATGTCAGTAATGTTTTGGAACACCACATTGAATATTTTGCACAGACGAATGATTTGGTAATGTTTGGTGCATTTATAGAATGCAGAAAATTCTTTGTACGACTGGTCCAGCGCACAACTCTCAATCACTTACTTTCTTCTTCCACTGAAAATAATAGGTACAAGGGCAGGCTAAGACGCACTTTTCCCAATATACTTTTTTTCCACGAGAGCCACGGTCAATTAAATGCCCTCTCTTAAAACATTTTAAATCCAACAACTGCATTCACGAATTGTAGTTGAATGTGCATGTATAAGTCCGTCTAAGCTCACTGATTAATTTAAAGTAATTACCCCTACTAAAACTGGTGAACAAAAAAAAACATTTACGCTAATTCGAGTCCTGTAGCTCAGTGGTTAGAGCACTCGCTTTGCAAGTGACAGACCTGAGTTCAATTCCAGGCAGAGGGCGAAACCTTGGGCAAGTTTCCTTACTCCACACAGAGCCTAATAATAATCCCTCCAAAACCCAAAACAATAATAAATTGGTCATTTTCAATCCACGACTGTTTGTGGGACATTGCTGTGCGCAATTGGCTGCCGCGTTCGCCCTCAAATATACAGTCAATTCACTTTACAGTGTGTTCTGTGAAGCGCTTTGGGACGTCCTCCAGATGTGAAAAGCGCTATATCGAATGCAAGGATTATTATTATTATTATTATTATTATTGTGCCTCCTCAGAAATCACTGCAGCCGTTCAACTCTTCAACGGCGTCGCAACTTGCTGCAAGACAACTTACACCTCGCAGGAAGAACCGCCACTTACTTTACTCGTGGTTCCGATTGGCACAATAAAAACGTCTGAATCGTGTCAACCAACCAGTCAAAAAAGGTAACTTTTGTTCCTACGCCAATCACCCAAATCGCATTATCTCAAGATGCGGCGATCGGTTTTTTTTTCTTCTTTAAAAAAAAAGCTTATTATATTGAAGGACAGTCAGGCGCACAGGTGACCAAAATGTCTTAAGGAAATGCTGATTATTATTAATTTTTTTTGGAGGGGAGGGAAGGAGGGAGGGGGGGGGGGGGGGGTGGGGGGAGAGGTGAGGGTATAGGGGTAGATATCCCGACCTCTTTGGGTCACCCTGGACTTCCCATTCATACAACTTCGAGCTTAACCCGAGTTATTTTTTCGTGAGCCGCGCTTTGCTGCCCCCTCCCACGCCATCAACCACCGGACAGGGGGTGGGGGGAACAGCCCCGGTCACTTACTTACCTGTTCGGGTGGTTCTGTTTTTGTGTGTTGTGGGGGGTGTGGCGGTTGTGTGGGGGGGGGGGTGTGTGGGGGTTGGGTGTGTGTGTGGGGGTCGGTGGGGGTGTATGTGTGGGGGGTTGGGTGGTGTGGGGGGGGTTGGGTGTGGGGGGGGGAGTCGGTTGGGGGTGTGTGGGGGGGAAGTTGTGTATGTGGGGGGGGTCGGTTGTTGGTGTGTGTGGGGGGGGTTGGGTGTGGGGGGGGTCGGTTGGGTGTGTGTGGGGGGGGTCGGTTGGGAGTGTGTGTGTGGGGGGGGTTGGGGGTGTGGGGGGGTGTGTGGGGGGGGTCGGTGTTGGGTGGGTGTGGGGGGTGGGGTGTGGGGGGTTGTGTTGGGGGGGTCGGTGGGGGTGTGTGTGTGGGGGAGTTGTGTATGTGGGGGGGCGTCGGTTGGGTGTGGGGGTGGGGGGGCTCGGTTGTTGGTGTGTGTGTGGGGGGGGGGTCGGTGGTGGGTGTGTGTGTGTGGGGGGGTTCGCTTGTTGGTGTGTGTGTGGGGGGGGTCGCTTGTTGGTGTGTGTGTGGGGGGGGTCGCTTGTTGGTGTGTGTGTGGGGGGGGTCGGTTGGGGGTGTGTGTGCGATTGCGAAAATCGGTGGCAAAGTGGGAAAAACAAACTACTCGAAACAGATAACTTTTTTTGTGTGAAGCGGAGGGGGAGGGGAGAGGGGGAGAGAGGAGGGGGGGAGAGGGGGAGAGAGGAGGGGAGAGGGGGAGGGGAGAGGGGGGGAGAGAGGGGGGGAGGTTGAACGAACCAGAGTGGGAATCGCCTCCCACCTGGTGGCCGCCCGGCGCCGGTGCAGCGCGCGGAGGCGGGCGGCCACTCACGCTCCCGAGTGTGGGTGTGCGGCAGCAGCAGTCAGGCTTCTCCTCGCCGCTAGGCCCCAACCGACGGCCTCCCCCCCCCCCGACCGTTTCAAACCGGCGCAAAAGCGGTCGCGCGCGCGACACCACCGAGCTCGCAACCCCCCCCCCCCCCCGCCGCTGCGGGGACGCGCCGGTTACGCACCTGCGCCCGCTCCCCCCCGGGCTCGAAGTTGGCGTCTTCCCTTCAGCCTTCGGGCAGCGCGCCGCGCCTGGTAACGCCGGGGCTCGGGGAAGGGGGGGGGGGTTGGCGGGAGGCGCTGGGGCCGGCGCTCTGCGCGTGCGCGGCGCGCCAGGCGCGCTGGGAGTTGTAGTTCGGCCGCGCGGGTTCGGAGGGCGCCCTCCACCAACGGTCGGCGCGCGTGAGAAAGGCGGGAAAGGGAGAGGCGGGAGGGTGGGGGCGAAGGCGCGTGCGGGGGAGGGCGTGAGGGAGGGAGGGAGAGAGAGAGAGAGAGAGAGGAGCAGCTCAGGGCGACGACAGGTCAGAGGAGCCGCGTCGCTGTACTGTGCGGTTGATAAGGCGGCAGTGACGGTCCCGGCGCTCGGACTCGTCGCGTCTTCGAGGCGCCTCGAAGCGCTTCGCGGGACAGCGCTGGAAAGGGGGGGGTGGGCTGGTGGGGAGGCGAGACGCGTCAACCGATGGCGCAGCAGTGCCTCCCCATTCCCCCCCTCACCCTCACCTCCCCCCCACCCCACACACACACACACACACACAGTCGTGGGCTGAGTGACCAAATTATTATTATTATCAAATATATGTATTTGAGAGGAAGGGAAGAGGACGGAGGAGGGGATGGGTGGGGGGGGGGGTTGGGAGGGGATGGGTGGGGGGGGTTGGGTGGTGGGGGGGGTTTGGGTGGGGGGGGTGTTGGGAGGTGTGGGGGGGGTTGGGAGGTGGGGGTGGTTGGGAGGAGATGGGGTGGGGGGGGGGTTGGGAGGTGTGGGTGGTTTACAAGTACAAGTTATAATAATCGTTAACGGGAAGTGTAGTGACCGTGCGTTTGGCCATGAAGTGAAATGGCCAATGTTATTTGGGGGAATGTCGGCCGGATTGAATCTTAACGATTCTCCCCCCTTCCCCCCCACCCCCCCCCCCCCCGCCCAAGCCCCTGGTCACGAGTCGCGAAAGGTTTGTACCAGGATCCGGGGTCGGACCAACCCCACGTACGTGCCTCGATAAACCGAAAGCGCATTTCGTTTGCAGAGCCGATCGGTCGTGTTCCGGCAGCCGAACACCGAACTCACTCCATTACGGACGAGACGCAAAGTACTGGCAGGTGCCGGAAATCTGTAAAACAGGAACGTCGCGTCCGTGGGGCAAAGGGTCGTGGACCCGAAACCTTGACCCACTTTCCCTTCTCCGCAGCTGCTGTCTGACCCGCTGGAGGCGTTCCCGGCCGCTTCTGTTTGTGTTCCGCGTTAATCCCCATTGTTTCACTCGGTGCGTGTCTTGTAATTCGCCTGTGTCAAACCCCTCCGCCGCTGTTTCATTCCGGGGAAAAAAAAACATTGTGGGTGTTGTTTACCTACTGACCTTACCCGCCCGTACCCTCCGTTCCTCCGGTCTGCTCCATGTCCCCCGCCCCAACCGCCCGACCATCGGTGGCCTTCAGCCTCTCAGCCCCGAGGCTCTGGAACTCCATCCCCAGTGCCTTCGCCGCTTCCTCCCTTTCCTCCTTCAGAGCCGTCTCAAGACCTTTCTCTTTGACCTTCAGCCTTCAGCTCCGCTCTCGACTCTCTACCCCCTCCGCGCTCCGTCCCTTCCCTCCCCTCAGAGGCCCTAACCATCTCCCCCCTCCTCGCTCCCTCCCTTCCCTCCCCTCCCCCTGACCATTTCCCCCCAATGCTCGGGTCCCGACCCAACTGTCCAGCGCCTTGGGACGTCCTCCCGACGTGAAAGTCGCTCTATAAATGAATTGTTGTTGTTGTTGTTTATCGATGTACGTTCAATTGTCGATCCAGAAGTGGACGTATTTTAAACGCTATTTTGTGCCTATAGGACGACAACCTGACAACAGGAAAAAGAAATCAGTTTCAATGGCAACATCACAGCAAATGCGGATTGCCGCTAAACAAATATCTGGGGTAATATTTTCATGCTTTTGTCATCTAGTAAACTGCTGTAAGAATTTATTTTAACTCGAGTACTATATAATGCTATCCAGTATCTCCCTTGAATATAACTTAATGTAACTAGATTGCAGGCAAAATAAATTAAACGTTGCTTTTAAATGTAAATTATTGATGTCCTTTGTTAAAAATAAACTAAAAGTTGTTCCCCTACATGAAAACATGTTTAAAATTTGAACTAGGCCCATATTACCAAAACCAGCACTGAAATGCTGGGATTTATACCTTTGCAATTTCAAAGGCTTTGCCAGCCTGGGGATACAACTGGCTTTACGCACAATCACTAGAATGAAGTTGGCAGGGGGATGGGGAGTGTTCGCTGGTGACAGTCATTAAGTGGGACATTTACAGGAGTGGAATGTCCCAAGGTGTGATAACTATCACCATTGGTAATCATCAGATCATACACTATAGTTTGAACCCTGTACATCATCTATTAACAACCCTGTACATCTTTTTTCAAAATAGTGACATACTTCAATTGCTTATTTTAGTACTTGATTATTTATTTTAAAGTTAATTAGACAATGAGGAGTACCTAGTTTATTCTACTTGTAAATAATCGCTTTGTGATTATTTTTAACTATCATAATAGTTTGATATTGTTTATTCTATTTATAACCTGATTTTATTTCTTTTTGTACCTCTAGTGGAACGCAATATTTCCCAATGAAGTAGTAACAAGACACCAGTCCCTTATTTTCATTAAGAGAATGATGGCCGTAGGTGTGTCCTGTATTACTTATCTGCGTGGGATATTTCCAGAAGACGCTTATAAATCACGATACTTAGATGGTAAACTTTGTTACGTAATATTACGTTCACTTGTTTCTGAGCAAAGAGAAATATTAAAGAGTAGGGAATTTGGATTAGACTAGTTAATTCCAATGGAGTTAGCATGGACTAAAAAGACCCTTCGGTCCATATAATCTCGTATGTCTACAATATTAACTTCTGAGATGCTCAATGGACCAAATGAATGTCTATTGTGGAGTCCTGTATGCTCAGTGGTTAGAGAACTCGCCTCCCAAGCAAGAGACCTGGGTTTGATTCCCGGCAGGGCGAAATCTTGGGCAGGTTTCCTTACTTCACACTCCTGATAATAATTCCTCAAGAACAAAAAACAATAATAATTTGGTCACTCAATCCACGACTGTGGACACTGCTGTACGCAATCGGAAGCCGCTTTTCACCCGCAAAAATAGTTGATTCACTTTACAGTATATTCTGTGAAGCGCTTTGAGACGTCTAGAAGACGTGAAAAGTGCTGTATCCAATGCAAGGATTATTATTATGTATTTTTTAACTCTGAGACACATAGAAACAAAAATATAATTGTTTTGACAGCAGATTTACTTGCCCGAAATATTGACAAAGGTGACTAAAGCGTAATTTATGCACTTTATAGGACAATACATCAGAAATACCTTTTGAAAATTGTAAAAATATAAACAATAATAAAAGTAATCTTCATTCAGGCATGTGTGTAAAGATTTTACGTGAAGACAGTCGTTTTCCTGGAGCATCCAAAGTAGTAAAATGGTAAGTATCCTAAATCTAGATTTCATTTTTGCAGAGCTTGATATGCCTTTACAAAACCTTATCTTTTGTGTTATGTTATAATGTGAAAAAGACCTCAAACTTGATAGTGTTTCTAATTTGCATCCTTGTTATATAAATACGAAGTCCATAAGCAGTCTTGGATGGGTTTGTGGCACTGCATTATCTTAAAATTCTCACCAATTATTCCTTCTTGTAGGTTATTGGGATGCTTTGATGCTTTGGATAAAAAATATGTAAGTCCATTTTCCATTGAATAAAATATTATTGTTTGATATTTCATTTTACAGATTCAGAACACTTACCAATTTATGTATTTTAGAGCTTTTGATTATCTGGATATTCCCAAATTTTTCTGTATCATAGTTTCAAAGGGACTCAACAAAAATATATTTATCTTTTATGCAATTTTCAATTATAAAAAATATTTTACTCAATGTTTCACATTGACATATACATAATATATCGAAGTGTTATTTAGATTTATTATTAATAAAGCCAAGTTTTAATTGTTTTATGTTTCTCTTTATTGATAGCTGCGATCAATTATTCTGGGAGTAAGTATATTTGAAAACCATGCATTCTCTTTTATAGCTAAGATTCTAAAGCTACAAAATCTAATCAATTTTTTACTTTTCAAGGTGTCAAAGTGAAGAAATATTTCATATAGTAATGATGCGCTGTCCTTTGAGTATTTGAATAGAAGGGGAGAAATAATACGATTTTGCAGTTAAGTTGAGGTGAATGGATTTCGAATGTAGGGTTTTCTTATTATCCCATTTCATGCTTTTAGAATTTTGGAGTGTTAAAAGCAATAATAATAATATTTACATTTTCAATAGCGCTGTTTACGTTAGGAGGATACCCCAAAGCACTTTTCATGATATACTGTAAAGTGCAGTGAATGTGTGTTTTGGAACAAATGTAGCAGCCAGCTTTTCACACAGCAATGTCCTTCAAGCAGCCATGAAGTAAATGACCAATTTTATTTAGAGGATTGTTGTCCGGGTCAAAGGGAGAAGTTCCCTTCTCTTTTCAAATAGTGTTATGGGATCTTTAACATCTGATGAACAGGTAGACATCGGTTTAATGACTCATCCAAAGGATAGGACCTCCGACAATACATTACATCCCTAACACTGGATTGGAGTGTTAGCCTACATTATTTCAAGACCCAACATGGGACTTGAACCCACAACCTTCTGACTCAGAGGTAAGAGTACTACCAACTGAGCCATGCTGATGCAAGATATTTGCAACAAGAACATATCTGAAATAATAAATATGGAGTCCTGTAGCTTAGCGGTTAGAGCACTTGCCTCGCAAGCAAGAGGACCTAGGTTTGATTCTCAACCGAGGCAAAATGTTGGACAACAACAACAAAATTACATTTGTATAGCGCCTTTCACATCGGGAGGATGCCTCAAGGTGCTGGACAATCAGTGTTTCGGACTCGAGCTGGGGATCGGGGAAGGTGGAGGGCGGGGGGGAAGGAGGATGATCAAAGGCATGGTGGAAGAGGAGTTTCTTGAGATGGGTCTTGAAGGAGGCAAGGGAGGGGGCGAGGCGGAAGGACTGCGGGATGGAGTTCCAGAGGGTAGGAGTGGAAGGTTGGTAGGGGGTTGAGGAGGTCGCAGAAGTAGTGGGGGAGCAAGGCCTTGGAGGGCTTTGAAGGTGAGGACCAGGATCTTGAACTATATCCTCTGTGTGATGGGAAGCCAATGGAGTCGAGCGAGAATGGGGGTGATAGGGTCGCGGAGACTGGTGCGGGAGAGGACATGGGCTGCAAAGTTCTGGATCTGCAGCCTAAGGAGGGAGGAGTTGGGGAGGCCAAGTTATAGTTGGATGTGGGGTAGAAAGGATAGTTAAGGGTCAAACAAGACGCCAAGGTTCTGGAGTGGCTCGGTGAGGTGAAGTGTGCACTCTTGGATGGTAATGCTGTCAGCGCCTGAGGTGTGGAGGTGCTGACGGAAGCCAATCAGGAGAGCCTCGGTTTTATTGACGTTCAACTGTAGAAAGTTGGCTCTCATCCAGGATTTGATGTGTGACCGGGGGTAATAATCTCTTCACAAAAATATAATAGTTTGATCACTCAATCCACGACTGTTTGTGGGACACTGCTGTGCGCAATTGGCTGCCCTGTTAAGCCAACAAAATATACAGTCAATTCACTTTACAGTATATTCTGTGAAACGCTTTGAGACATCTCAGAAGCATGATAACGCGCTAAATCAAATGCAAGGATTATTTTAATTATTATATGTTAACTACAGACATGTTTAATGGACAAATTGTTATGAGCAGGATTGAAGGTAATAGGTCTGTAGAACTGTAGAAGATATTGTACAAGTTTTCGTTTGATTGTATTCAGTTTCCTCCTTATTGAAGTTTTCCCAATTTTACTTGTGTCCTTAGGAGGATTATATTTGGGAGTCTGGTAATCCAGTTTGTCCAATTGATGCTACTGTGATGCTTCATGTACATATTCTACCATAAACTTATATTAAAATGTAAACTGTATTTTGCATCTTTTGATGTTTAGGTTCATAAAGATCCTGAAGACCCAAATGTGAGTACTTCTAATTTGAAAATGTTTAGACATTCTTGTAATTGCTGATTCAATATTTAAATAGGGTTCTGCAATTAAGGAATTAAGTGGGGCCTCCTTCAACAATCAGAATTATGTCACGGAGGAAATCTACCCTGAAAGTGTGGAGGGAGTTGCCAAGAGTTAATGTGACCTACTTAATAATATTATTATTATTATTAAAAGCAGTATAATCTACTTCCAGATTCTTTTATTAAGGAATTGAGTTTGAAAATGCCATGTTTTAAATCCCAATTTTGTGAATAAAAAGTGAATGCTAATTGTAACTAGATTTGATTCTATACCCATTTGCAGAGCATGATTGAATCTTACCAGTTTAAATTTAAGTACACCACGGATGGACCAAAATTGGATATCTTAAGGTAAAATATTGATTTATTTCTAGTAAGGCTCTTGCTTTACTTTTCGTGTTTATGATGTTTTCTGAACTCCTTAATACGATTGCAGCCAATTGCACAAAGCGTTGTCCCACACATTGTTTTGGATTGAGTGACCACATTATTATTACTATTAGTTATTTTTGGGGGAGATTATTACCCCTGGAAAAGTGATCCAGCAATCGACTAACATGTTGCCACTGGTTGCCAGCGCTGCATTATAGGCTCAAAACTGCTAATGCTGGTGAATTTATCGACCAGCAATTTGATGTCTTAAAATTGCCCTTCAGCAAGATTATGAAAGAGAAAAGGAAATGGTAAAAAATTATCATAGAAGTGATTTTAAGTTTTTTTTTCAAATTAGACGGTCTATGAAATGATAAACAATAATGGTTTACCCATTAGCAATATTCTGTATGCAGATAACTCTTACATATTTCTCTTGAAATAATTCCTGGGCACAATGTGTTTATAATTTATAGCATAAGTAAGAATATTGAAACAGACATGACTACACAAGACACCAAGAAGGCTTCCATTCTGCTCATCCGTAAACTGTTTGTCCTGATGCAGAGCCTCGAAACACTTCCCAGTGATGTGTCTCTGACAATGAAGCTTTTCTATTACGATGAGGGTAAATGATCTATTATGTGATTCTGCCACCTATACTCTTTAAAATCTAGTTCTGCCTATCTCTTGTAACTTGGGAGTTATCTCTGGCATGTTTCCAGACTTATTCTTTTCTCTTTAACGGCGAGAGCCCTTGAATTGAGGTTCATAATCACATTTTGCTCATATTATTCAAGGCAGCTTTTGAAGCATTATGCTTGTCCCCATTTGTTTCTTCTATGTTAACAGTGACACCTCCTGATTACCAGCCCCCAGGGTTTAAGGCTGGTGAGTGTGACTCTATGTGGTTTGAGGGGACCCCTGCACACTTTAAAATTGGTGATGTACCAACTCCTTATTATAAGATGAAGGTACGAATCACAACACAGAAGGAAGCAACAGAACAACTGGAGAAAGAAAATTTTCTGACTGAGGAATTTACATCTTCACAGCAAGAAGTGAGGCAAGACAAATCCATCTTAAGTGTGAGTCATACCTGAATATTGTATTTAAAATATCTGTAACCAGATGTGATAAGGTTGATTGTAGAGCAAAAGCTGAGATCAGCTAAATCACTGCAGATTGTTTGTCAAACTTTAGTATTACACTGAATAAAACTGAATAATAAGGGATTATAGATTATATTTCAATATTATTTGCTCCAGCTAGGGCTACAGTAAGAAGTATCTGTAACAAAGACTGATATTTCACAAAATTTACCCTTATAGTTGTTAAGAACACAAATAGCTTTGCACATTTAAGGAATGCCAAGGAACAAGCCCAGCATCATCTAGTGGTGAAGTACATACAATATATGCCGTCTGAGCAGACCAAATTAACAACACAATACAATTCACATTGATATAGCACTTCCACATCAGGAGGATGTCTCAAAGAGCTTAACACTGCTGGCATGAGCTGGGGTGGGAGCTGAAAGGCGTGGGGTGTGGAAAGCTGACCAAAAGCACAGTCAAAAAGGTACTCTTTGAGACAGACCTTGAAACAGGTAAGGAGGGAGTGACAGGGTTGTCATTATGCCTTAACTTTTTTTGTTTCAGGACAATAATATTGTGAAGGAAGGTGATCTAGTCTCCCCAAATAATACAGGTAGTAACATTTCTCTTGATATTACAACAACAACAAGATTTCATTACCGGGGGAAGTGGTCAGGGTGAGGGGAGGGAAGGGAGGGAGCGAGGAGGGGGTAGAGAGTCGAGAGGGGAGCCGAAGGCTCGGTCAAAGAGAAAGGTCTTGAGACCGGCCTTGAAGGAGGAAAGGGAATATTACTGAATTGATTTAAAACATTTAAAAGTTCAAGAATTAGTTTTAGTTTTACAAATGTTTAATAAATTGCAGCCCATTTTTAATGTGTCTTTCACATACAACAGAACGTTACGCATCCGACTATCTCTGGGCTGCTATGGGACACAGTTGAATAAATGAACTTATGCGATTTAGTGCAGAGAAAAACAGTATGACATTTTGATTCAAAAACTAACTTTGGGAGTAGAACAGTGGCCAATACCATTAACATAGTTGTGGATTTTCATATAGAAATTTTAAAATTGGTAAAAACTTGGGATTGTTGTTGAGGTTGATACACACATCCTACCTTACAACCATATAAAACAGGACAAATTTGTAGAGCAGGACCTCTTTTCTATACTGCAACTTTTTATCACTTGAATGAACAATGGGTAACCTTTTAACATTTTTAATATTTTGACAGACCCGAGAAAAAAACAAATGTTCAGTGCTTCAGAGAAAAAGGTAACAATTTCTTTGCGATTTGTAAAGATGTTGATTGATCATAAAGTTCCTGAAGGTAATAAGGATCAGAAGAGTAAAGATTCTGTTACACACTGTACAAATATAGTTTAATGATTTTAATGATGAGATGTTTTACACTCACATTAGATAAGGAGTAGAGAATATGTTCAACGGCAATGTTTCCATTTCTAGACTTTGTCAAGTCTGAACGTGATGATGGTCAAATAGTGCCTTGGGACATCCTCCCGACATGAAAGGCACTATGCAAATATAATTTGTTGTCAATTAGCACAAAACTATTATCCCCTCCACTATTCTCCCAACAAAGATATTGTATATCCACATGTTGCAACATTCCATTCGTGTTCCCAAGGTATTTGAATCAATATTTATCATAGACCGATGACAACATTACCAATTAGTGTTTTAATGTATATGGGATGCCCTTTCTCTCAGATTGAGCAGCTGGTAGCAAACACAGCAGAACTGGATGTGTCAGGCACAAGAACAAGACGTAGGAAAGTGGCAACCAATAGTGTGAGTATTTATTTGGTAGTCTGTTGTCCTCTTCTTTCTTTCCTAATGTAATTTGCCTCCAACTATTACAACAAATTATACTTGTCCCATGGGTTTTTGGACCCGACCTGGGAGTTGAAGTCAGGAGGGCAAGGGAGTTGGGGGTGGGAGGGTGGCAGAAGGCACGCTCGAAAAGGATGGTCTTGAAAGAGGCAAGAGAGGGAGTGAGGCAGAGGGATTGTGGGGTAGAGTTCCAGAGTGCAGGGGCAGAAATGCTGGATGCCCAACCGCCAATGGTGGGGCAGGAAATGCAGAGAACCTGAAGCAAACCAGTGTCCACCAGTCGGAGGGAGCGGCCAGGCTGATATGCTGTTAGTGGGTCGGAGAGGTAAGTGGGAGCAAGACTATGGAGGGCTTTGAGGGTGAGAACGAGGGTTTTGTACTCGATTCTCTGAGTGATGGGGAGCCAGTGAAGCCAAGCAAGAATGGGAGTGATTGGTTTGCGGAGCCTGGTGCGGGAAAGGACACGAGCTGCAGAATTCTGAGTAATCTGCAGCTGGTGCAGGGAAGAGTTGAGAATTTGACCGAGCAGGCAGTTGGCGTAGACGAGTCAGGAGATGATGAAAACATGGCTCAGGGTCACGGTGGCCTACGGTGAAATATTAAAGGTAAAGTATTAAATCGTAACGGTTTCATTTGATATATGGCCTCACGTCAAAGAGTTTAACACAATCTAAAATTACAGGTCTTTTACTGTTAGGTGCGTAAGGGTACGTCCCCCCAGACTGATGAAGAGAAATATCCGGAATATGAGAAGTACAGCATAGCGGAGGTTGTAAAAGCTTCTCGAGCCAAAAAGACAATTTCTCAAGTCAATCGTGTAAGTAAGCATTAGCAATGATTCTGTTTATTGCAGTTTTATTTAAGGATTTTTTTTAATGTATAATAATGCAAAGTGAACTATGGATATGAGTTACAGAGAGATCTTCTCTCACTGCCTCCCTCCAATGAAGTCTCGCTGGGTGGTTCTCTCTGGCAGCACAGCTAAGATCCAGGCTGGCCCACCTTCAGCCACTCTGCCCCCACCCTCTGGAACTCCATCTCGCAGTCCCTCCTCCTCGCCCCCTCCCTTGGCTCCTTCAAGACCCGTCTCAAGACCCTCCTCTTTCACCGTACCTTTGGTCACCCTCCTTCCCCTCCTGCTCTCCACCCTCCCCGATCCCGACCCCCAGCTCAAGTCCAAAACACTGATTGTCCCTTGGGAAGTCCCCGTTGCTGTAATGCCATGTATTATATCGTATAAATTATATTGTAGTTATCATATTTTAAGTTCATCAAAGTAATTGAAAACTTGTCATAATGATAGTGTAACAAGTCCGACAGAGGAGACAATCCTATACTTATACTCCCTCTTGTTTCTCTAAAACAGCCAGCAAGTGATTCCTTTGTGAATCAAGAGAAGACTACAAAAAGGAGAAAGAAATNAAAAAATATTCTTACAAGTATTCTGATATTGGACAATAACTTATTGTTATTTATGAAAATGTTATGGTTATTCTTTTATTAATGGATTTAAAATGTCTGCCCATTAAATACTATGTTGTTATTCTTGTTTCAAATGTTGGTAGTTTGGTTATACCTGTAAACATGTATGAGATACATCGGGGGAAATTTATGTAAAATAAAATACTGCAGTGCACGTGAAATGTCACATGTCGTTGTCACAAAACATTTGTCACATGATTCTTTTTCAGTTTTTTAAATATAGATTTGGGTACTTTTCTGTGCTAAATATGCTTATGTGTTTTTCCGGCTTGGGAAGCTTACACGAATCAGCTAGAAATAACAATATGAAAGGGCCACCGTTTAAAAACATTGATTTGACTCTCCGTCAAATCAACAACAACAATCTATATTTATACAATACAAAATTACATTGGTAAAGCGCCTTTCACGTCAGGAGACATCCCAGGCGCTGAACAGTCAGGGAGTAGGACCTGAGCAGAGGTGGGGGGTGCTGGTTGGGATCAGGGAGGGTAGGAGGGTGGCCGAAAGCACGGTCGAAGAGGGGTGTCTTGAGGCGTGCTTTGAAGGAGGAAATGGAGGGAGCAAGGCGAAAGGAATGTGGGATGGAGTTCCAGAGGGTGGGGGCAGAGAGGCTGAAATTATATTCTCATGAATATGAAGTCATTACGTGTGTGGACATAATAATAATAATAATGCTTGCATTTGGTAGAGTGCCTTATCACATCAAAACGACCTCTCAAAACATTTAAAGGATTTACTGTGAAATGGAGTGACTATTTGTAGGCAAACTCAGCAGCACAATTGCGCACAGCAACATCCCACAAATAGCAAGTAGCCATGAAGTGAGTGACCAATTTGACTTAGGGGATAATTGATCAGGGCACTAGGAGAAACTCTTCTCTTTTTTGAATAGTGGTATGGGATCTTTAACATTACCTGAACAGGCAGACGGACTTCAGTTTAATGTCTCCTCCGAAGGACGACACCTCTGGCAAAGCACCTCTGACCCACTCAGCACTGCATTGGGGCACCAGCTTAGATTAAGTTCTGACCTGGGGCTTGAACCTTCTGAGTTGGGGGCTACCAACTGAGCCAAGCTGCAAGGAATTATAAGCGTTAGTGTATATTACAGAAATTAATTTGCAATACTTAGAGAAATAGTGCATTTTAGCTAGAAAAATATACGTTTGGTTTTTTTTAAGCAATATTTAACTAAATTTATCATTTATTTTAATCAGCACGAACAAGGTTGACTCATTGTATGGCTGCCAAGAAATGAAGGGGATTTCCAGTGAATTAATAAATCCTCGGGACTTTCCACGTTGAAACGCCCCTGACTGGTTTCCTCTTCCTCTTTGGAATTTCCCAAACCACAGCAACGAACAAACTATCACGAAACTGAAAACAACCGTAAATATTAACACCCACTAAAGAGCATATATAAGACTTAGTGCAGTTGCAGATTACAATGCAAGTCTTTACTGGAGAGTTACAAGAACCTCTTAAATGTTTGTGAAAATGTCTCGTCCCCAGCAGGTTCCCAATGTAATGAGAAGATTTGTTTTCATTTGTAGCTGTAACTAAAATGTGTCTTTGTCTTTCAGGTGTGCGTGAAACATTCAAGAGTATTCCAGATGCCAAGATCGTGACCCTAGTGGTTCATCATTCCTTAATCAGAAACAGTGTTTGACAAGAGTTTTCACAGTGTTTTCAGATATATCGAAATGCAATTTTTATGGGTATGATATTTGTTCTTCTCTTCCCCGTCCTCTCTTTAGGTCTTTCAACTCGGTGTGCATGATCTTCAATTGAATAATAGTAATAATAATCCTTGCATTTGATCTAGCACCTTATCACGTCTTTGAGACATCTCAAAGCACTTCACAGACTATGCTCTAAAGTGAATTGACTATATTTTGTTCAGCAAATTACCTGCTGTAGAGCCTCTGCTACTCTATAGCCAGTTATTGGTTTCAAGAACAAATTAAGATAGATTTTTGCTAGAAAATAAAATCTCGGGATACCAGTACAGGTGTATAGTTTGGGACACGACAGATCAAGTGACTACCAGGATGGTGGAAGGTGAACTAGATGGGTGAACCTTGGTCTTCCTTCGCTTGGCAAATTCTTATGTTCTTACTTATAAAAAATGCCGAAGAGACACATCCTCTCTCCAGATTCTCTCCATTCCTATGAGAGAATTCCTGGACATGGGGCTTTCCTGCAATAGTTCCCAGGACATTGGGAACTTGTACTGTGAGATGGTGTTCCAGCATGCTGGTTTACTTCGCTCCCCATCATACCTCGATTAGAAATGCTTGATGATATTTTGGCTGCAAAAGTAAAAATTTAGAAATTGTTTTTATCATTTTATTGATAGCCAACTGTGAATTTAGAGATCTCCGTTATTCTATATGTGTGTATAATCTTGTTGGTTGGAGGAGGTATGGTATCAACTGGGTCTGACCTTTAAGATATAAGAAGAGAAGACAACGTTCAAACCGCATAAAGAATTTTTTTTTTTACTTCAGTTTAAATTTTACAGGTAGTGTTTACGAAACTCCTCTGCGGGTATAATGCAATTTACGTTTATGAAGTATCTTTCACGTAAGGAGGACATCTCAAAGCCTTTCACAGCGTCCCTTGAAAGAGGGGAGAGGCGGAAGGAAGGGGGTCCGAGGATGGACTTCAGGATGAAGTTCCACAGAGATAACATGATCGATCGAAGTTTTATTTGAGAATGATGTTATACAATTTCATCCGCATTTATTTATTTAGGCAAGATCGAGACTTGCAGACGGTGGAAATTTTTAATTTGAGAAGTCCACTGGTGGAAAATCAATTAGAACCTGAAGCAAAAAAGATGTAAGAGATTCAGGCCTGGCCCTCAATCAAAATTGAAAGAACATAAGAAAAGTTAAATTGATTACATCAGCAAACAAAGCAATAGGCAATTAACAGATGGGGAATATTAATAAGATTTTGTCAAAAAAAATCTGTAAACTTTAAGATAAGGGGAAAAAATCAAATGTGAATGGAGTAGTTAAAAAAAATTAAGTTTTGCTAAGACTTTGTTTTGGTAAAGTGTTGCAGGAAAGTAAAATTGAAGAACCTTTTTGTAGCTTTGTTCCTTGTAACACACTAAATTAAGTTTCAAGTATCCCAAAAACTAAACAAAAACAACTTACATTTATACAGCCACCTACACCTAGGGTAACGTCTCAAAGCGCTTTGCAGAGATGGAGTTGGACACCGAGCAAGGGCGAGGGAGTAGAGATTAAAAGCATTTAGAATTTTTGTCTCTGAACCAAACGTCACTCGTGTCTGGCAGAATGGACGACGTTGAAAGAATCAGGTGATGGATGCATCATAGGAAATTCCCTAAATTAAAAAGCGCAAGGAAACATATTGCATCTTGAGCCGCACAAGAAATCCCCAGGTGTTTTCCAAGTTAGAATCATGGGTGAGGGGTTTTCCAAGTTAAGGCGTTTTCTTCATTAATTGGGTCATTTGTAGCCTCAACTTCTGTGCTCCAGTATGGATATTGGTCCCTCTCACAACCTGGTAAGAAAACTACAAATTTACTCATTTATAAAATGTCTCATTTATAAATCTCATCTTTTTCAACATTTTCTAAACCTGAACAATTGGTTTACATTTTCAAAAAATCCTCGCATTTGATATATAGCGCCTTATCACGACTTGGAAACGTCTCAAAGAGCTTCACAGAATGAACTGTAAAGTGAATTGACTATGTGTTGTGGGCGAAATCTAGGTCGAAGGCATACAAAGGCTTATCAAAACTGATTCCACCTCTGTTATTCGCCTACTTTATAGTTTCCTTTGAGGTGTTCACCGAAAAGTGAATTGAAGCCGTGAAAAAAACAACCTTGAAACTAGTTCCCTTTACACTCTTTTCAAAAAGCTGCTGATTGCAAAACCCGGCGCAACCAGAAGGTTTGCTGAGATTAAAAAAAAGGGTTGGAATCCTTATTTCATATGCAAATGTAACTTTCATATCCCCCAAACCAAACCCAGGGTTCTTTTGAAGGCGTCATTACAATATTGCGCACTCTTAATTCTTTCCTGCCGTAAATATCTTTTTCCGCGCTATTTTTAAAGGCGAAAATAAAATTAATCATCAATTAATGAGGCATAATACAGACGCTCGGGATCTGTGAATTGCACGGTGTCATGCTGCACTCGATGCCAAGGCCGTCCGATGCTATAGGATGCAGTAATACATCGGCAAACCTAAACTAACTTGATATTGTTTCCATTTCCCTTGTGCCACAATTGCAAACTCCAGCTTTCAGCCCTCCAATTTTCCATTTTTTTTTGAAAAACAATAATAATAATCCTTGTTATTGATACGGCGCCCTATCATGTCTTTGAGATGTCTCAAAGCGCTTCACAGGCTACACCACTGTAAAGTCAATTGACTATATTTCATGGGCGAAACAAAGGATAATGAGAAGGATGTTTTTAAACCCAACAACTGAGTTTTTTTAGACACATCAAAACATCCTTTCCTGCAGATTTCTGCAGCGGAATAGCATCGAACAGAAATAGAACACAACATTTGTCAATTCACACGATTACATAAAAAACATGGGTAGATAATTACCTCGGTCGAGATCTACTCTGTTCAATAAACCTTTCTGAGTATCCCAGCATTTGGCAAATTATTAAATGCAGGCTTCATTTTGAAGGAGATATTCCCAGAAATTTCTTGTCAGAACTACAACAACAAGATGGGGGGGTGGAGGGGGTGGGTTGGCATCAGGGAGAGAGGTAGGAGGGCGGCTGAAGGCACGGTCAAAAAGGAGGGTCTTGAGTCGTGCCTTGAAGGAGGCACGGGAGGGAACGAGGCGAAGGGATAGTGGGATGCAGATGAGAAAAAAGGCTTCAAAGTCACTAAGACCGAGTTCAACCACTTGTCAGAATAATGGACGTTCTGAAATGCTCCACAAAGTAGAATAAAACTAGACCCAGGCGAAATTTCTCCCCCATAAGCTTGCACTTTGGAAAACAAAATATCTTTAAAATTGTTCGCGTTTCGTTAGGTCACTCGCCGCAGTACTTTGTTTGCTGGGAGAAAAGTGGTTGGTATTTTAGTCTCGGGGTTTTTTTTTTATTTCAGGACGTGACATTTAAGATCGACCTGACTTATGGCTAGGGCACGTCTGCAATCTTATCAAATG